CGAGAGCCGAGTAATAGCCGTAATGTCTGCATTCAATTTATATAGACATATATACATATGTGTATGTATATACATACTCAAAGCACCGACTATTAAAGAGACTAGACCAGACAAAAAAAAAAATAGCAAAAGTATTTCTCATTTATTTTTAATACATTTTTCTGGTCTAGTCTCTTTATGCAGAATAATCAGAAGAACAAAATTTTATTTCCACCAGAAATATTAATTAGAATTTAAATATGATCTGGGAACTATGGATTTCTTTTCTATTATTAAATCACTTGATCCGATCCAGCTAGAGGGAGTTAGCCTGGCGCAGCCGTCACCAGTTAAGTATATCAGCGTTACTTTGGACCTTTGGGCCAGATCTGAGGAACTGCTGCCAAATCAAATTATGAACGTATGCGACTATTGCAGAACCGGGTACTTTGGTAGAGATCTAGCTTTGAAGAGCAGATCTGAATAACAGATTGGAAGGCAGACAACCAGATACACAGCGAAAGATTGCTGAGACACCGCAGCTAACTCGAATAAAGACCACCCCCTGCCCCAACTTTAAGGTGACTTAAGCTCCAAGGTTTGCCAGTACGATTGCACTGCTCCATTAAAATTTCTCATGCTGCGTTATGGGGATTTGCTCTAAAAAAATTACCTATTCATGTGTACTAAATTATGATGTACAGGCTCTAGACTTAGACTTGACGTAATACTGGACAGACGCATGACATTCAGAAGGCATGTAACGTCACTGCAGCAGTCATTTAGAATTAAATTATTTAAATTGTCTTGAAAGCCTGCAGCGCGTTACAATTTCTGCTTGAAGAGGACTATAATCTATAAGATTACCCTTGCTTCTGGCCTGTTCTATGCCATCCACGTATTGCTGCATAGATGTACTTAAAGGTACTCGACAATGAGAAAGATCACGGGGGCTACTTCGTACATGAGAGCCAGAAATGTAGAACTAGATCTCAATGATTCCATATGGTAGACAAAATCCAAGAGGTGGCCAAAACCTACCTAGAGAGATTCAATTATCATCCAAAAAGTTTGCAGCTCAAGCTCCCCGAGCACCCGCACGAATTCTAGGAAAAGACTCGGATTCCACCAGACTCAAGACCTGCTGGATCGTGTCTTGAGCTCAACAATTTAAATATATTTATGATTCCATAAGATTTATCCGTATTACTGACTGTTTTTAGCTTATATATATATTATATATATATATATTATATATATATTTAATCAACTTCTGTTTAGTTTAAGTTGCCTGAAACATAGAAGAACCTTATCCTATACATAAATATTTCATTATACCACAACATAGATTCCTAGCTTTTTCGGTTTCAAGCTGTAAACACATAATATAAATGTATTAATAATACTTAACTATTCTTAATGTTTAATATATTTTGGAAACTAATACGGATTTAATTTTGAGTAACGTTTCGAATAGTAATATTCGTCAATTTATTATATGATATGCTTGACTGTTCTGGTAGACGATATCTGATCTTAGTAGTAGTAGTAGTAGATGTAGAGAACCATCAAAATATATAGATAAGAGCATAATAAGCATTTAATGTTTGCATTTGCTGGTTCTGAATTCTTAGATGGGAATTGTCTAGCAGCCAAGGCTTTGCTTGTGTTTCGTACAAATTGTAAGCCAAATAGTTTTAAAGGTTTTAAAGTCTTTGCTAACAAATCAATCTATATAATAAGATACAATACATAAGAGAGCATACTATCATATATAGTAAAAGATAAATTACTCTCAATTGCATAGAGCTCTGCGAATTCCAAATGGTCAGCACCGACGGCAAATGAAGATTTTTTTAAATTCTTAGTCAAATATATTATTTATAGGCTCAAAGAAGGTAAAGCTTTTATATTAAATAGAAACTTAGAAGAGATTGCAATGCCTTTGGCACAGTAGAACAGCTAAAGCGGGTATTCAAATCGAGATATAAAAGATATAGTTTCGGTTCGCTGGATACTTACAGATGGATTTGGCATGCAGCGTCGCATTTGCTCCGAACTTCGATAGGATGGACTGTAGCGTCCTGGAAAACAACTGGGCGCTGACATTTTCATTTTATCCGTCGTCGAGTACATCGACATTGTCATGCAGCCGCCGACGAAATCCTCCTCCAGCTTGAACGCCCTTGAGGCGTCAAAAGTCGTTGGCGAGTAAATTTTGAAGCACTTACTTTGACAACTTTAAAGACTGTCCTGCAATGCAGGACGCCAACAATATCTATATATATATATATAGATATATATAGGTATATATATATATATATATATATATGTGTGTATATATATATATATATATACAAATGGGTTGAAAGCAACCAAACGCTTTCAACCAAAAATGTTGACTTTTTGGCAATTCAACTTTTTTTCTCTCTCTCTCTCTCTCTCTCTTTCTCTATATCAATTTCTTTGTAGAGATTTATTATTGATATTTTGCTTAGAACTTGAACAATTTTCCACTGTTTGGTTTTGCACTGATTTGTGGTTTAGTTTAGCGTGAGCCGCGCGACAAAACTGTTAAAAAATAGCACAAGAAAAAAAAATGTTATTATTTGGGTTTTGGTTATTGCCGTCGCCAAATGCCAGTGGCTAAATCAGTTGGCCGCCTTTGCTGCTGCTGCTGCTGGAGCCGGAGGGGAGCGCGGGCAACAACAATAACATCAACATCAACAATTATCAATTAGGAAATTGCCTGCATACTGACTCTAATTGAGCGTAATTTGTTGGCCGATAACCGATGACCGATGACCGGTAAGCGGGAACGTAAACGTTAACGAGCAACGACAACACGACACGACGCTACGTTTGGGTCTGAGTTAAGCGATGGCTACGTAAGCACTGTTTACCGTTGCAACGTAAGCAAGTCGAAGCGATGCGAAGCTCAAACGAAAGCCGAGCCAACACACGCGAGCTCTGAGCTTTCGCGCCTGAACCTGAGCCTGAGCGTGAGCGTGAGCGTGAGTCTGAGCTGCAGCTAAAACCACGCTTAAAGCTCAAAGTGTTGCTGTTTTCTTCCGTTATTTCCTTTGTATTTCTCTTTCGCTTTGCTCAAGCGGTGCGCGTGTTTTGTTTGTGTTTGCTGTTTGCTGTTTGGTGTTTGGCTTTGGGTCGCCTTTGCTTGGCCGTCGCTCGCACAGCTGTTCGCTGATGCCAGCCTGCCTGCTTGCCTGCCTGCCTGCCTGTCTGTCTGTCTGTCTGTGTGTCTGTGTGTGGGTGTGTGTGTATGTGGTGTGTCGGTCGATCGGTCGGTTGCTCGCTCGGTCGCAGCGCTCAACTATTGTCGAAACTGAAAACGAAACGCAAGCGAACAGATTTCACAACTAGACAAGCGCGCGTGGTGTTGTGATAAAGAATTCTATGATGAGTTTCGCTAACTTCTGAGTTTATTTTCAAATGGGGAGGACATGTTTTCATTATTCAGCAGCCGTGGGCGTGCCCGTTGCGGCCACCCCTACAAAATGGCAGGCAGGCCGCTTTATGTAATGCCAGCAGCGGCGCGCTGATTGGCCGCCCCAGCGCTGCCGACGTCGACGGCGACGGTTTCGTTCAGCTGGAATTGGACAGCGCCGCTGTGTCTGTATCTGGGCAGCAGCCAGCAAACTTGACGAAGCCAATGTGGCAACGGTGGCGACTCGGCCCAGCGCCTGCGCACTGGAATTCACCATCCAGTCGCACTCATGGAGCAGCAGCAGCAGCAGCAGTAGCAGTGGCAGCAACGCCTGCTACCTTCCCTCACTCGCTCTCTCTCTCTCTTTCTCTCTTTGTCTCTCTCAGGAGTACTGTCTCTTTCCGTTACAAGCTGTTGCTCTCTCGCTCGCCTACTGCTGTTCGTCTGCTTGTCCGGCATATGGCACAATTTTTTGGCAGGCGACGCGACAGGAGCGTTAACAAAAGGCACAAAACACGGCCAACACAGCTCGACAATGCCGCACAAAACGGGTACCAGCTCACAAGGGGGCTGGGGGCAGGACTAGAGCAAGCGGGCGATATTGAGTGAGAGAGAGAGCGTGTGTGTGTGTGTGTGTTGGGGCGGGTGTGGTTACGCCTAGCGCCCAGTTATTCATTGTATGGCGAATGCGACTGCTAAATGCATGCACATACAGGGTGCTCCGCACTGCAGCTTACCAGAAGCGGGTGCCGACTACGGAGATCTTCCTATTGGAATTCTTACTAAATTCGATTTTCACAGACCAAATTTTAGAATCTTTCATTTAAATTCTCTAAAAATCTTTTATATTTAAAATTACTCCTTGAATCAATTAAAAGTATTTATTATGAAATTTTTACTATAAAAAACAAAACAAAAACTTATATATTAGCCGAAAGCCTCTGCTGCCAATGCTTAACCCTTAGCTAGTTATAATTTTATATTAACTCTAGTATGTTAATAAATAAATAAAAAAATATATTAGTTGCTATCTATTTTATAAATAAGATCGCACAGAATTTAGTTGCACTTATATTTAAGCAAAAAGATTTAATGCAGATTGCATACGTTCATTAATATTTAATCAAAGTGATCTGCAATGTACATTAAATAAATAATTATTATATTTTTTTTTTTGTATTTTTAATTATTTGTTTTTATTTATTTATTTGATATTTTTAAATATATATTTTTCTAAAGGCAACAAAATTTAGCGACTGTGGCGCCATCTATGTGTGCTGGTCTAGAAGTCGCTGGAAGGAAATCAAGCTAACAAAGCTTTCACTTTGCAGCTTGAGCTTTAGGATGTGAAAGCAGTCATTCAAGTTCGATTGTAACTTAAAAGCTGTGCAGCTTTAAGCTTCTTTGCAAGTTAAATAAGGGTGCAGAGTGAGCTTTACCGAGCGCCGCAACCCCTAAAGATGAAAGCTTTTGTAGTGTTTTCTAAGTGACAACTGTAAGCTTCCAAATCTCTGTAGCTTTTAGCCTACCTTTATTCTAGCCAACCCCTTGCTTAAAAAGAATTCAACACTCATACTTTTGTTACATTTGTTTGTTTGTTTATTTGTTAGATTTTTTTTTATATAACTTCCTTTTGTTTGTACAATTATCTAATATGTTCATCATTGTTTATAATATCAATAAATTATTGTAGAATCGTGTATAAAACTTTTTACAAGGATAGTCTATAACATTGGAGTACACAATATAAACAGAGTAATATCAATGGAATACATCATATTCATATATATGTATATACATATACGTATGCACATGTATGTATATATACAGCCATATATATGTAATGTTTGAGCGATGAAGCACAACATGGCGTATAATGAATTTCATAAATTCGTTCAGGAATCATAATACCTCGATTTTCGTTCTCGTTGCAAATCGCATGCATGACTACTCCTACAGTCTATCCTAAACAAAAACAAAATCCGAATCGAACTTAGAGCAAAAAAATGTATATATAATAAATATGTATGTATATATTCTCTATATATGTATATGTATATACATATATATATATATAGTAGTATAACCATTTGAACGAAGCAACAAAGAAAACGAAACGATGCGCATGGCAGAGGAAATTGGGCAGGGCTCGTTATAAATATATTATTGTGTTGCTTACGCCTACGCCTCGATCCGAAATTCTTAATTCTTAATGCCTAGTGCTTAGTTTGTAGTTCTTCTGTTTGTTCGTTTGCCTGTTGCCCAAATGTGTTTCTAAACGGTTTTCGATTGAGATCTATGGTCCAATTAAGAGTCCTTTTGCAGCAAGGACTCGAACTGAAAGGCATTTGTGGATCTGCTCGGAAAGCTGTGGGACTGTTTAAGTGAATGGTGCTGAATGCTGAACGCTGAATGCCAGAACGGTTGTCCTTAGGTGGTTAATTGCATTTCTTATACTCGTTGCCTAATCTTAGTCTAATCGTGTCTGCCCAGCACGCCATAGACGATGCGACGGCGCGCCAGCAGCTCGGCTCGCATTGCGTCCGTATAGGGATCGAAGGACAGGAGGCGCTTCTTCCTGCGAAAGATGCCCTCCTTGCGCACCAAGGCGCAGCGCAGCAGCTGCTCGTTGACAGGATACTCGAGGAACTCGAGTATGCGGCGCAGCTCGCGCTCCGTATGCTGGACCAGATCATCGTAGAATACAACCTTGATGCTGCCCGTGAAATTGCGCGCCCAGCTAAGATTCATGAGCTCCCAACCTTTGAGCTTGTTGCTCACAAACTGTTGCCAATCTGTTGAAAGGGAGAAACGAATAGATGCACAAATATTAGAAAACTAGAATATGTCTGACAAGTTAAATAAAAAGAGTGGTGAGTAGTCACGAACCTCGATTACCTTCAAGTATAGTGCATTTGCCGGAATATGTATATACGGACGGATGAAGCAACAGACCGAAAGATAAAATCATATGTACCCTAAATGGGTAGGGTTAGGACTCCTAGCTCATAGCTAAGATATACACAATGATGAATTCAACTGAACAATAACTAAAACAAAAGCCAGTTAGGAACATAAGGAAATGGAAATAATACTAAAGTTAGAGTCAAGTAAGAAGTAAGAACCATTAGGACGCTATAAGCAGAGTCGTTATATCCAGACTCTACTGTATTAGTAGTTATAACCGTTATAATAGGACTCTACTAATACATAACGACTCTGCTCATAGCGTCCTAATGGTTCTTGCTAAGAAAATTCTGGTCCTCAGACAAACTTATATGGGTATATATTATAGCGTCTCCCGTGTATAAAGAGGATTGAAAGTAGTATCATATCCCATTCTATGACAATTGCTCTTACTCTCCATCTCTATGTTTTCATTTCTGTCTCTCTCCCTCTCTCACCATCTATCTCTCTCTCACTTTCTCTCTTTCTCTCTCTCTCCCTCTTACTCTCTTTTTATACTTATTTGTTTACTCACACTTGCCCTTTGTGCGCTTATAGCGATCTGGCGAGGCGAAGCCAATGTGTCCTCCGCTCTGGCGATTGAACTCGGCTATGATCGCCTTCTCGGGATCGCGGACGAGGAGTATTGCCTTAGAGAAGGGTGCCCATGCCTTGGCGCCCCATTCGTGCGTCTTCACCAGCAAGACGGAACTGTTGCACACATTCTCCGCCGGAAAGCCAGTCTTCAGCAGGCCGTAGTCCTTGTATATGCTGCCCGTCAATATGCCCGTAGCCTGCTGCAGTAAATAACGCAGCCACGTGTTTCCGCTGCCTGGAAAGCTCGCCAATGCGGTCAGCATGGGCGACGGCGCAATACCCTGTAACTGCAAATTGGCGCTTGCGTCGCTGGGCAAGGCAGCTGCAAAGGTAAATATTGATGATGATATTTCACAAATTTAATATCGTTTCCAGACTTATAGGCTAAGAAATACAGCTGCTAGATTATAGAACAAGTAAATTTTGTATAAAATATCGATATTTATCATATGTATATCATATCGAAACGTGGCTCGCCCTATAGAGCTACTGAGCTACCTTCTTTCAGCTTGTTAACAGAGTTCTTTAACTACAAAAAAAAAAAAAAAAAAATACTGAATCTATATTGAATTGAGCAATGAATGATAAGCGAGGGCTGTCTACAAATTTGACCACTTAACAACGCACAGATCTATTAATTGAAATAAATCAATTTTTATTGTTGAAATAATACTCGAATCGAATCATACGTTAAACGATAGCTACGAGTGTCTCTCATACACAATACTCACTGTAGTAGTCGCCGGCTTTGTAGTCTGTGTAGTTTGGAAGCTCGCGATTTAGATACTTGAGGTCGCGACACCAGCGAATGGTCATCTTTCGACTGGGCATGGGGAACCGGGGACTATGAAAGCTGGAAAACTGTATCAAGGGGAAAAATAAATAAATATTTACAGTATAATTGCAACAGAATTTGATCATTTGTTTGGCTACCTCGGCGAATCGCTCGATGCGCGTGCGTTTTGGATGCGAGCCTGGTATATTGTTCATGGATAGAAATAGCACTCCGCCTATATAGATGATGATTGTTGCCGAGACACCGAAAAAGCGCCAGCCTTGCAGTGCCATAACGCCGCCTTTGCATTACTGAAAGACACATCACATGAGTGAGATAGATAGATAAAGTAAGTGAGATAGAGTGTAAATAAGGGAGAGAGAGAGAGAGAGAGAGAGAGAGAGAGAGGAAGAGAGAGATGGAGAGAGAGAAATAAAGGAAAGAAAGAGGAGATCGAGGAAGAGAATGAAAGAAAAGAAAGAGGAGACGAGGGAGAGAAAGAAAGAAGAAAGAGAGAGAGAGAGAGATAGACAGATATCTAGATAGATAGATAGAGAGAGAGGGAGAAAGAGGGATAGACATAGATAGAGAGACACAGAGGGAGAAAGAAAAAAAGTGAAAGAGACAAATAGAAATAGGGATAGAGAGAATGAAATAGATAGAAACAGAAACTGGAGGAGAAAACGAAAGCGACAGAGACAGAGAGAGCGAGAGAGAGAGAGAGAGCGAGAGAAGTTGAGATACAGAGGTCAAGTATACAAAGAAAGAGAAGCCAAGTAATGTAGGGGGAATGATGGATTGATTTTATTCATTTTAGGCATAGTGAACAATTCCCACATCCTAATTCTTTACGACAATGGAAATGCTTACTCAACAAGGCAACCAACAAACAGTTTATGGTCAACAAATAACGTCAAACCTAACTAAACTTGTTTACCCATTTATGTACATTATTTGCATTTCCCACATTTCAATTTACATTAAATCAATTGATTACAGAACACATTTTCTATATCAAGGAGTTTCGTTTAAGATTTCTTATTGAGATGAATGCAACATACAGACCATAAGGAATAGATGGTGATTATAAGAGGTCACAGCTGACTCCTGCACACAAATCACACAAATATTTGCTATTTAATCACTCTTGATACATCAATCAACCTGTCATCCGGTCAATCAATCAAACAAACAGGAAATTATAGTTTCCTTTTAGTTCCCGATTTTTGATAAGAGCAACTTGCTTTGGGTGCAGTCAAAGAACTATATCTGTATGCATATAATGAACGTACTTGATGAAGACAGAGTCTTGGTGCCCTTAGAGACATTTGGTAATTAGGCCCCTTAATTTCGCGTAATATGTTTCCACAGTAAACAGCTGAAAACAAAAACCTCACGAAACTGAACCGCAAAGTAAACCAAAAGCTACGAGGCTTAAATTATCCTATTTTTATTTTATTCTATTTTCGCTTTTCTGTTTTTCTTTTTTTTTTTGTTGTTGTTGATTTTGCTATGGAGACGATACGGAAAAAGTGCGCAAGGACTAAACGACGCTATAGCCTCAATCCTCGAGCCTACAAGCCAACCAGTGCCATTGAACGAGCAGCTAGTTGCCCGCAAACGGTGGGTGGCGAGGGGACGTTGGGGAGAGCGGCTACACTTCAACCACAGCTGACAAACACAAAGAAGCGAAAGAGTCGTGTAACTGCAAGGGTTGACTGCTAGATACCCTGGAGTCAGACCTAAATATGCATTCGAGATACAAAGTGTAGATATATTCGATATACATCTATATATTAGGCATGGACATGTATATGATAGATATACTAAGTACACATTTAATCAAGCTCAGCGCTTGGGCAAGCCCCGCCTGCTCTGGTTCCGGAGCAAAAGGAAATCGCCCTGTCATGCCTTGGTACGAACTATTAAATTCCTTGAGCTTCTCAACACGCGCATGAAATCCACAAAAAAAAAAAAAAAAAAAAAACATACGTATATATATATGATATAAAAGAGTATATAATATATATATATATATGTGTGTGTGTAAAAGACAAGTAACAAAATGCGAAAATTTATGCAACAGCTGAGCATGCGGCATGCTGCGAGGGTCGCTCAAAGAGTAGTTACACGAGCTCACCCACCACTACAGGCACAAGTGCTGCATGCACTAGTATTGGTGAGCTTAAGCTCACTCACTCACTGTGTAAGACTGTGATTAAGCTGGCCTTGGCAGCTGCCTTTAAGCCATACTGGCTGTGCGTTGATAATGCGATATATCAGCCAGCCAAATTGTAAATTGCAAATTACAAATCAAATGAAGCAAATGCTCAAGCAGCCCGAGCAGCCCCAAAAAACTGGCGCATATAAAAGAAGACGAAAAACCGCAACTGACAATTGCATTAAATGCTGCCCATTAAATGGGCCATCTAACACACAGTGCGAGCGAGACAGAGACAGCGAGAGAGTGAGTGAGTGAGTGAGTGAGCGATGGCAGGTGGGGAAATGAATGAAGCAGAAAGAAAGGCGCAAACTAGGGAATACCAGAATATAATTTGATTGTATAAATCAGATGGGGCACGCATAACAGCCGGCCAAGGCATGCCAAGCAACGGCCCACCCCAAAGACAGCTAAATACCATTCAGCCAGCGGCCTCACCTGCCTCACTTTACAGGCGGCAGGCGGCAGGCGGCAGGTGAGTGAAATGAATGAAGGAAATCGCTAACGCCCAGGTGGAGGCGAAATCCAGCTGCAATTTCGGACATATGCTCACACGGCTGGCTATTGAGGCATTTACATAACTACAAGCAAAGGGGCTGTGGAGGAGGGGCTGCAGCCGGGGTTAACGTGAGCGTGGGTGTGGGTGTGGGTGTGGGTGTGGGGGTTGGTCGTGGCAGGGTCATTGCATGTGGCCCCACATATGCTGCATTAACAACAGTTTCTATGATTTCAAACTGTGTGCTTATGTATGTCTGTGCGGGCAGAATCAAATAAATAGTCTGAAAATTCTGCAACAAAGGCAAAACCAGAAAACAAGTGAAAAAAGTATCAAACAAAAAATCTGAATATGCTCCACACGCACTCACGTTCACACACGCATACGCACACGCACACGTACACACACACACACACTCAGATGGTCTTCATTCAAATGTAAACAAATAATATTTGTTGTTCTGTGAAATTTCACTTACCGATTCCGATTCCGCGCTTCGCACACACACACACATACACACACACCGACACACTCGCACACACACGCGTACGTACAACTATACCGTTACATGCCACAGATTCTGAAAACAGAATCCCTATGCAGCGCACACATTTCCGTTAGTTTCGTTTCCTTTCGATTCGATTCGTTTTATAAATATACTTAAAAATTAGAAAAAAAAAAAATTGATTTGCGTTTGTTGTTGTTGTTGTTGTTCGCTGCGCTTTTCGTTGTTGTTTTTTTCGGTTTGCTATATTTTATTTATTTGTTTGTAATTTCGTTTCCCTTTCTTTTTTTCTTCTTTCAGCTTTTCTTTTCCGTTTGGCCGCCGCGTCGCGTGTCGATGCGCTGAAGAGTTTCTGCTTTATGCGCCAGCATCGCAAATCGCAAATCGTGGGGATGAAAGCGAACGGCGACGCTGAGCGGCGAAAGCTCTACAGCGTTACCCAACTGCTGCACGGCGAGTGGCCACTCGCCATGTAACGGCACATTCTGCGCTGCGTCGCTCAGCTGTACAGCACAGCTGTTGCTGTCCTCTTTTCCCTCTGCGAAAGCTCGCGCGCGAAAAAGCTGTTGCCACTGGCGAGCACTAGATGGCGCCCTATGTCTGACAAAATTGATTTCTGGTGAGCTTTTTAACGACCATCCAATGAGCAGAGGTACGTGTGCTGGAAACCCGTGATTAAAAAAGGAGAGAGCGAATCTACGTAGTTGCGAATATTGGGAGAGTTAGGACGACTTTATAGAGAAAGAAAATTGCTGAAAATATTGAGGATTGACTTTGATTGTCGAGTACTCTTAACTATTCATACTACTCACCTTATCTCATATATCTAACATATCACACCCACAACATTATATTCGTTCACATTTGGGTATATAATATAATGCGCTTAAATATTTTAAAGTCAACAGCAACGCGTCATACAGTCGTATCACAATAACTTGTCCCTCTCTTAGAGAAAATGCCAAGGATTCGTAAAAGCTGCTGCCCAATTGAGAAAAATCCATAAGCTCGTCAGAATTCCATACAATCTGGTTCCCTCGTTCATTTGTAATATTTATTAAATATGTTATTTAAATATAAATCTGAGTTAATTCGAATATTTTCTACTCTCGTAAAATGAAAATCTCTCCATTGCCTTTTAGGATAAACGAGATCTCGAAGATATAGGCTTGATTAGAATACATCATATTAACTTACGTGTGGGTATATATGTACATATTTACAGCCTAATTTCAATACTTCAATCTCGTTTCAGCATCACAGCTCCTTTGGCAGCTTTCCTAGAAACACAATATACTTTAAGTATACCAAAAAATACCGATTAGAAAAGGTTATTCGACAAGTGACTTATTTTTTGCTTATTTTTTTTTTTTTTTTTTTTTTTTTCATCAATTTATTCAATATATATTTTTGTTATTATTATTTTTGTTATGTATTTTTCTTCATATTTTGTATTTGTTTTCATTTATCAAATTTCACCTTAGTTGCATTTGTTTTCCGCATTTTTAGTATTATTTTATATTTTTATTTATCTGAGGTTTGTTTATGATCTCTCATTTGTTTTGCTATGTAATTTAAGGACTTTATTGCAGTACCATCATATCTGAGTAAATGAGTTGAATTGATATGATGCAATTTTTGTTGCTGGATTTTTCTTTTTTTTTTTTTTTTTTTTTTTGGCACACGAAGAGTTTGTTCGGAATTGAGAGACAATTGTTCTGTTAATCCTTTCGGGATTTCGCTTAAACTGTTTCGTTTCTTTATTTGCATTTCTTTAACATGTGCTAATTTCATTTTCTTTATGTATACTTCATATATTTCTTTAATTCTATAATAATTTGCATTCATTTGTTCTTAAACTGGCGAAATTTGCAATAAAATTACAGATACAGAGAGACAGAGAGAGAAAGAGAGAAAGAGGGAGGGTGAAAGAGAAGGGGTGTGTGGAACAGAAACCAAATCAAAAACAAAATTATGAATACGTTAAGACTAGGCTCTTGTGGGGAACTCTTAATAGGCTACCTTAAACTAGTGTACAAAAATATCGATAACTTTAAAGCGATTAATTTTAAAACAACAACAACGACATCAATTTGTAATACTTAAAATACTGTCATATACATAATAATTACAGAGAGAGAGAGTCGAAAGATGGGAATATGAATGGGGAGGGAGGGTCGATTGGGGATTTGTTGTTAATAAATCAGTTAAAGTATTCATATACATAAGTATTATAATTGACTCACAGAGTTTCATACAATTCGTGTGTGTTTGTGGATGTGTTTCCTCTTCTACTATCGATTGGAACTTTCTTTGTAATATTTCGATTACAATTTAGATTCAAGTCTGTGATCGATATACTTGAAGGAATTGCAAATACCACATAGATATATTCCGTATTCTGGAACAATTGAAAAAAAAAAATAAAAACGATCGAACCGAATTTCGTCTATCATATTTGTAAGTCTTTCAGCTATGGCTGGGTATACCTTCGAAAGGAGTAGCCTTATCGATAACCGATTTTCGATAATAGACTCGAATATTTTAGGGCGTATTTTTTCTGCTTCTTTCATAGCTATCGACTTGATTTCTTGTTTATTCTTGACTCACGCTCAAATCGGTTTAGATTCAAATTTCAGAGATAAAGCTCTATATATGGAAGAGTTCTTAAAGATGTTCTCAATCCCTTCAACTTTGGTGTGTGTTGGAGTGTTGGTTTGGTTGCATTGTTGTGATGCAAGCTATGTGATGAAGTTTATACAGTTTACATTTATCATAGTTGCATTTATATATCGTAAGATCCGTTAGATTTTAGTTGTATTACATTTGCTAGCATCGTGCTCTAAACTTTTGTCACGTTTGTCCTTATATAAAAAGGAAATACCAAACTCAAAACTTTTGTGGTCCCTGGCGTATGTAAATAAAAATAAAACCTATTTAATTCTCTTTTCCAAGATTAACAATTACAGAACGAATGTGAAAAACAAGATAATACTTATGTTTGTACAAATGTCTCCCATGTGCATACATAGACTATATAGATTCACTTAACAGTATAGATGATTAAGAGACTTCGATTAAGTTGTGCTTGTCGATTTATAGTTCATTTGGTTTTGTTTTCCTTTTGGCTTTTGGTACGTTTAATTAAATTTAGTTGGACTGTTTAGCTGGCTGTGACCCATTTATTGAACCCATTGAAATTGTTCCTTGAATTGATGCGCTATCGTCATCGATATCGATGTCGATTTGGCATATTTTGTGCTTTTTGTACAATGCGAAATGGCGCACAACTCAAACGCCGACTAGTAGTTAGTTAGTTGTTTTTGTTGTTGTTGTATCCCTTATATATTGTTAGTAGGTAGTAGCATATAGAACATATGTATATAGTATATGTGGTGTGTATAGATATATAAATATTATCTGAATAGTGTCGCTTGTTTTTTGTTTTTTTCGTCGTGCGCTACATACACAATGCGAATAGTTATGTTAGCTTGCTCTGTTATTTTTGGTTTATCGATAACGCTTAACGATTAAGAACGTTTGCTTTCTAGGCGCTACGAAACTCTCTATAGTGGGCGTGGCTAGGCCTTCGATTAATCGCCACATTTGACTACAAATAACAACTGTTCGGCTAGGGCGGAGCGTGCGGTCGAGCGTAGAGTTGCCAAAACGATCGATAAATATATCGATAAGTAGACTAAAAACCAATTAGGTAGGCTCGGTTACGTCCTGCCTTGACCATTTCTGCGTAAACCAAAATATTATTAATCTTGAACGATATCAGCAGTGCTATCGATAATTTTGCAGCTTTGGTACACTGTTCAAGGCGGTGTGGGGACGGTCTCTAACAGTGTTAAAAGGTATTTCACTTCTAGCTTAAAGTAACAAGTTCTTCTCTTAAAATCTTTCGATTAAAAACAGTTTGTTCTTTGTTTTTTTTTCCATTTTTTTTTCTTTTTTTTTTTTCTTGTTTCATAACACAATATAACAATTAGTTTTTTGTTTTAGTTCCTTGTTGAGTTTGCGCTTCTTGAAGTTAACTATTTATTTTTTCGTTTTTCCATTAGGTTAAGTTTTTGTTTAAAGTGTTACAATAAAATGGCGCTTAGCTTATAGATGAAACATTAGATTGGAGGAGCTTCTATTTAGTTAGGAGCTAAGCTTAAGTGTTGTTGTTTGTGCATTTGCTAGAGACTAAACTAAGAGACTTTTTTGAAAAGCCCGCATTAACGTAGAGGAAATTGGCGTTTTATAAAAGCTTAAGTGTACCCAGCGAGCTTTAAGGAGAAGGTGCTCCAAAACGAAAACTATAAAGCCAACGAATGTATCGCCTAGACTAGACTAGATGTGAGATGAGTTAGGAGTAGTATCGATTATTGCTGTATTCCATTGGACTCTAGGCTAGATTGCTATAGTGTAGGTAGGTCTGGTAATAGGTAGACTAACGCTTAGACAGATCTAATAATAATAATAATAATAATCATAACTTCCAACTTATTATCCATGTGCTAATAGTATATATATGTATATGTATGTATGTATATTCTAATGGCTCTATATATAAGTATTTGTATATTATATAACTTTATATATATATATATACTAAATATCTATATATCTATTTATATACATATATTTGTGTGTGTGTCTATCTTATTTACTCTCGGTTGCTGTGTGGTGTTCAGAATTTGGTATCTTCGCTTGTTGCTGTTGTTCCTTGAATTGATTAGTATTTAAAATGTTTCTTAAATAGTTCTCTATATAAGTTATTAAAGCTTTCGGTTTTCGTTACACTATTTCATATCATATCATATATAAATATTTGTATTCATATATGTATATACCATATATATATACATAGATGTATCTATAGATTTGTGTTTGTGTCTGTGTATATATATATAACTACTAATACCTAATAGGATAAGAGGTATATACATTTTGGTATTTCCATTAGCCATTTCTATTGAGGCGCAGCCCATCCACCGGGATACGTCCAGGACCCAAGGCAAAGATGAATGGATCTGAACTTTATACTCATCACACATTTGAAATACTCATACAAATCATATAATGGGCGCCAATGGCATGGACGCTATATATAGGACGGTATTATATCTAGGTACTCGCAGATGGCCGATGTATCAAATCTTAAGCAAAACGATAACGATATCAAGAGAGCTGAATGCAGATATGTTTATGATTTAGATGACTTAAGGAAGTGCAAAAAAAAAATGTATAAAGAAGCTGACAATGAAAAATATAATGATGAGATGACCTTAATGATATCGATTTCGATAACATGGGAAGTGGAAGAGCAGAATATAGTATGATAGTTAAACCTTTGTTTGCCTTTGGCGGAAGTTAACGATAACGATAACAGCATAGTTGGCAATTACAATATGAAGATGACAAAGTTATCGATATTGATAGACAATCAATAAGAGCCTTGAATGACAGCAAGGCAAGTGATATTTGTAAGTCGAATATAGCAACGGCTATAGACAACTAAATCGATAACATAAAGGGTGATAGCGATAACGATGACTGGAGTATACTGTATACATGGAGAATGTTGAACAATTGCGAATAAATGAATAGTTAAACTAGGTTTCTGGACTTTCTGGTAGATGGGCCACTCAATTTGGTTTCTTGTCTTCTTCTTCTTCTTCTTTACTCTTATCTCAATTACTAATTTGTATGGAGTGCTCATTTTCATTACTCTCATCTCCTTTTCGTGGGTTTCTTGCTCTAGTGAATGGTTTTAGGGGTAATCATATAATGTACTGTCGTGTATTTGTTGCACCTTCCGTAATGCTGTCCGATGGTTAGTCGTGTCTGTCCGTGCTGGCGTGGTCCTCCTGTGATTATAGTTCTCAAAGCTTGTCTTTGTCCCGATCGATGCTCATTGCTTTAAAGATGCCACGCCCGATCCCATAGCGCAGGTTGAACTGATCCAGGCTGGAGGCGCGCGGTCGATTGCTGCCACTGGCTGTGGCATCCGCCTCCACAGCTGCACTCGCCTGGCCAGCGGCGCTGCCACTTGCGCTGGCTCCAATGCCGGCTGCTAGACGCTCATCGGCGTCCGTTTCGCTGCACTCGGTCTCGGTGTCGCTGAACTTGCGGCGTCTGCGCAGGAACGTGCTGCAGTGCCGCAGCTCGCCCAGGTTGTCGGACAGTGAGTGGCCGCGCTTACGCTCCTGCCTCTCCATTTCGGCGGCCAGCATTTGCACCTCCCAGTCGTTGTTGCTGCTGCCTGTGGCCGCCACGAGTGCCGCGCCGCTCAGCTCATCCTCGGCCTCATCATCGTCTTCCTCGTCGTCGTCGTCGTCCACATCGACGTTCACCTTGCTGGACGATGAACTCGAACTGGAGCTCTCGCCAATATCCAGAATGACGCTGTCCGAGAGTCGAGTCAGATTGCCCGTCACATCGGAGATCATCATGGCCGCCGCGTTGCTGCTGCTGCTGCTGCTATCGGCTGTCAGGCCGCCGCCCATGCTGCTGCCCATCCCCAGGCCCTGCTCATGCCAGTCCCGATAGCCGGGCAGAGCGGCCCCGCCCCTACTGCTGTGCGGCGCATAGAAGCTGGGATGGCTCTGCGCGTGCCGCGTTGCCAAGGTGCCCGGCCCGCTGTAGTAGCTGCTCGGGCAGTTGAGCGCATTCGCCGAGGCCGCATGATACCGACTGGGGCCAGGCGATATGCTGCGTCGGCCCTGGATGGGCGGCGAGGAGGTGAACACAGTGTCCAGCGAGTCGCCGCGCTGCAGGCAAACCGAGATAAGAGGATGAGCACAATGAAAAACATGTAAGAAAGCTCCAGTCGAGATTGCTCGACTACGAGATGCCCTGTACTCTTCAAGGAGTACACAAACAGACAGATAAACAGATAAACTTACTATAAGAAATTAGTTGCTTAATAACTTTCTTTATAGATGGACTATATACATATGTGGAGAGAGGCATGTGAATTTTGGGGTGGGAGGCAGATCGTAAGAAAAGCCGAAATTCTATAAAATAAATACAAAACTATGTTCAAAATTTGGAGACTCTAGCGCTGAAGATCTAAGAGATATTATATTTAAACTGATAAACCGATAAGGATTTTAATCGATAACTAAATAACGGAAGCAGCTATCGATTTTAAGTCTGTAGCTCTTATATCTTCTGAGATTGACGCGTTCAAACATACGGACAAACATATCGACTCAGCTCGTCACCTTGATCAAGAATATATATACTATACTTTATAGGGTCTGCCACGTCTCCTTCTGCCCGTTACATACTTTTAACAGAGCCATCATACCCTGCTTTCCCAATTCCAATGGGTTCAGGGTATACAAAAATGGATTATCAGCGCATCGCATCTCATTGCATTTCCCTTGCCCTGCCAAGCGAACATGCACTCGGCGCAGTGACGTGGCATATGCACAATTTGTCCAGGAAACCTACGTGCAAGGCAGCAACAGCTGCTCAAGAAATTTGCTTAATGATGTGCCGTTCGGGTTGCATAAATGCTATGCGAAACAAGAGGCAGCCAGAGTCCACATTCTGCTGCATTTTTCAATTGCTCAATAAATGACTTCAGCTGCTCATTTTGTTAGACGAGCTGAGAAGGCAGCACTTGCACTCGTCGCCTTCGAGTTATTGACTATGAATTGAACATTATCAACTCTAAGCTGAATTTGCAAAATTCGTTGAATTTGTCCAATTTGCTGAATTTGCTGACAACTATTAGGTTAGGCTTTGTTTTTGTGCTCAGTATCAAGTAAGATGAAGAAACGACTGAATAATACTCTTCCAAGAAGTTATAAAGGTCTCATTAAAAACTTTATATTTCCGACAATGAAATATATACATACATAAATATATTAGGAGGCATTAGTTTATTCTAAATACTTCTCTACTTTTATTCTTTTCTAGCTCAAACTAAACTCTATTGTTGTTCTTCTTCTTTCAGTAGTCATCATCGCACTATAACCATCCATCGACAGATTCAGCCATCGGCCTTAGAGCTGGTTCCTCAAATCTCTCATTGACCTACTGATTTTTACTCAAATACTCTGGAATATATTGCTCTCTTATCCAATGCACTAGATCTATACATTGCCCTTGAGAGTGGCAAGTAAAACTCCGCCGGAATTCGGCTTTCAATGAAATGCTTGAAATGATGAGCCTGTAATACCTTAATTATCACATTTTGGAGCTCTTGATAAAACACATTGGAAAATATAGTTGTTTTCTTTCTCTGATTTATCACGTCTATCTATATTTTATCTATACCTATATATCTTGTAAACTTTTTAAATAAGTGAAGCGTGGAATTTCTCGCTGTAAAACCGTAGATTTGCCACGCCCTTGTTGACATAGTTATGTATATACATATAGTATATGATTGTAGGTGAATTTATGTAAAGAGCGTTACAGAAACGTATGTAAGTATCAAATTTTAAGGCGGGACTCCCAAACAGCTCCAAGTGAAGGTCATGGAGGTCAGATATCCTATTGAGTATTAGAAAAGTCATAGCTTTTCTTAACAAGACAGACGGACGGACATGCTTAGTGGAAAACCAATATACTCGTCTCATTTTCATTTATACACTGAGGCACTTACCATAAAGAGCAACTCGGCCGAGGAGCCCGAACTGCTGTTATCCTGCTCGGCCGGCTCGTCGTCGTCGACGGATAGCTGGGGCAGCTTCTCCCGCTTGATGCGGCGCGTTGTCGATGGCATCGCTGGTTTCTGTTCGATGGAGCGCAGCTTCAGCTGCAGCTGGGCGATGATGGCGTCGCGCCGTCTCACCTCGCCGGCCATATTCGAGAACTGCGACTCGAACTTCGAGTGCATTTCGTTCATGTGCGTCTTGATCACGTGATTGATGCCGCTCAGTATCTGATTGAAGTAGTCCTGCGCCTCTGGAAAGCCTTGAATTCAAATTCAAATGGAGTATCGTTCATAGGTTAGTAACTGAATGCAATCGGCTGGCAATGCAACCCTGTGTGCGTGCGCTTGCGGTACAGTTGTGTACGGTCCCTGGCGGGCAGGTGAGAGAGGCACAGCTAGGCGTGCGCGTGTGTGTGCGACTGTGTGCGTGTGTATGTGTGTGTGTGTGTGTGTGTGTGTGTGTGTGTGTGTGTGTGTGTGTGTGCGTGTGCGTGTGTTTTAGTGTGAAAGACAGAGACAGAGACAACTAGGACAACACGTTGTGGTCGTTGTTGTTATTGTTGTTGCTGTTGCTGTTGTTGTGGTTGTTGTTGTTGTAGTAATACCAAGTGATAAGCAAAATAGGTTATGCATACATACGCAGATTACAGTTATTTACACACATTCCCATACAAATTACAGCTGCCTTTGCGCAAAAGTTTCGAGAGTTTTTCATTCTGGATTTCTGTGTTTCATTTGGTTTGGCAAATTTTACGTATTTACAGAAGCGTTTAGTGTTCTCTATGTGTGTGTGTGTGTGAGAGGGGGTGTGTTTGTGTGTGTGTGTGTGTGTGCGTGTTTGTTGCATGCTGAAGAAGTGTACGCCGTCGTCGTTGTTTCATTCCATTGCGTTCCAAAGCGTGCGTGCGCGTGCTTCGATACGTTTCAAGCTCAGTTTATCGATAACGCTTATCGATGACGAGCTCATACGCTTAACGGGCTGAAAATGCTATTGTGGCAGTGCAGATCGTGTACTTAACCCAACAAAAATGTTATTCATCTCTATAAAGTCAAAGCTTAGTTCAATACGATATACATAAATAATATGTGAAGTAAATAAATTTCAATAGTACTCAAAAAGCTCTTACGTATACGCAAATCGATATGACTGTATATACCTTAACTTATGTACAGTACAAATATACATATTTTATACTTAAAAGACCTATTAAGAAATTGACTTTGTTTGTAATTAAAAATCTTTTTTTTTTTTTTTTAGTTAAGGCAAATTAAAAAGGTGCTATCAACTCTTAGCCTAGCAGAAAAGCATTCGCAATGTTAAGCAATATATCAGCAATATCCTAAATCATATCAAATAGCAATTAATAGATGGCATTACCATGCATAAATTTAAAGATAGAGAAAGACAGAGACAGAGACAGAGAGAGAGAGAGAGAGAGATAGAGGACTAGCGAGAGAGAGAGAGAGAGAGAGAGAGATAGCGGGAAAGCCAGAGCGAAGCATTCGAATTTTGTGTAGTGTGCCATCAGGCGCTGCAAAGGGCATGCAGAGCGCTTCAGTCTGAATCGCATTAGGGGTATTCCTTTTGTTAGAAAAGAAAGAAACAAAAAAAAAAACAACAACAATTATCAAAAAGAGTAAGACTAAAATCAACTTGAATTCACTTGAATGGAATACCCCTAATGTTGGTCAGAGACAGCACAATCGATAAATAGATTTACTAAGTGTTGTTGAGCTTGAGGGCGTGGTAAGCGTTAGACTTGGAGTAATTGTATTTGATATAAATATAAATATATATGGATATGGATACATTTTCAAGTATTGGACAGATCTGCAAGAGAATCACCTAGCGATAGCAGTTATCGTAATTACCTTCCAGTTTGGGCAACTGACCCGCCTGGCCGCTCGCATTGGTCGTGTTCTGCCGGAGCTGCAAATTCAAATTCAAATCTGTGGATGTTGTGGATTGTGCATGAAATTCGGTATTCGACGAGCATTCGACCACATACGATGCGGATGCGGATGCGGATGCGGATGCGGTTGCGGTTGCCGAAGCGGAAGCGGAAGCGATTGACGTTGAGCCGTTGCCAACGCCAGCGATGACGCCGTTGCCGCCCATCAGCTGCGGCTCAAATGCGGCGAAATACTCTTGCGGCGAATTCGTTGGCGTTACCAATGCCAACGTCGGCGACCAGACGGCCTGATCTGGCAGCATTGTTCGTGACGTTGCCACACTGTCGTTGCCGTTGCCCGAACCGATGACAGTAACCGAGCCCGTACCCGTACCCGTAACCGTACTTATACCCGTACTCGAACCGGAACCGTATAGCGTGCTGTTGCTTTTGCTGCTGCTGTTGTTGTTGTTGTTGTTGAGGCAAACAGCAGCCGCAGCACCACCACCGCCGATTGCCACGAAGTGCCCCTCCTCTGTGGCACTGGAGGGCGGGCTAGAAAGAGTTGAATGGAAGGTTACACTCTTCAAGAGCTTACTGTGCCTGGCCACGTACCCTTCCAAGGTCGGCTCCATTAACAGCCCCCTCGACAGTGCACTGGTTTTGGCCTTGGCCTTGGCCTTGGTCTTGGTCTTGGCATTCGCCTCGTCTTGGGCATCACCATCGGCAGTACCACCGACACCAACAACACCACCACCACCACCACCACCACTACCATCGTCAGCAGCAGCACCCTGCTGCATCTTCTTCAGTATACTCTTCAGCTTGCGCCGCTCCACCGTCTCGTTCGACTCGGGGCTGAGGGGCATGTAATCCAGCTGCTTCAGTTGCTGCTTCGAGTTGCCGTCCGATGTGGATGTGTTGGTCGAAATGGATGTGGACGTGGAGCTGCTGGTGGTGGTGGCCGACTCGTAGGTGCTCAGAAACTGAGAGTAGATCCCGGAGGTGTCGCTATAGCAGCGGTACAGTGACTCCGTAATTGGCGCCTCGTTGTTGTTGCCGCTGCTCGACTTCGAGCAGTCCAGGCTGAAGCTGCGCGTCTGCAGCGCCTTCTCCAGCTCGGCCAGCTTCTGGCGCTCATTCAATATCTTCAGCCGCTTCACGAACGGCAGTCCACAATACTCCGGCGACAGGTCGAACACGCTCTGATATAGTTTACGGCCGCCCGTCGTGGCCTCGCCCTCGGGCAGCTTCTGTTCCGGCTTCTGCAGGCGCAGGCAGTCGCGCGCCGTGGTCAGCGTGCTGCGCGTGCTCGAGGAGCAGGTGCTCGAGGTGGAGCCATGGCCACGCCCATGCCCATGCCCGTGTCCATGACCATGTCCATGGCCATGGCTGTGGCGGGAGCTGCGGGCACTGTGGTGGCGTGGTCGAGCGTTTGTGGTGCTCTCCATTTGCTGTGGTATATTGCTCAGCGAGTAGTTCTTCAGCGGCGTTGCCAGATCGTCCGGTGAGCAGTTGTTTAAGCTCGTGTAGCTCGACGACATGAGCGTGGCCAGCTTCAGCTTGGACCAGGGCTTGATTGGCGTGCCATCAGTGTCCGTGTCCGATTGCTGTGGTGTGAACGGCCTCAGCGGCTTCTTCGACAAGCTGGCGGTGGCGGCCAAGCTCTGCCCAACTGCACCACCCACAATAGTTGGCTCCATTGGCAGCGCTGGCAACGTAGGCATCGCTGGCAACGCTGGCAGCGCTGGGCCGCCATGCTTGGCCACCACGGCCAGCGATTTGGGTGGCTCCTTTTTGGCTATGGCACCGGTGGTGCTGGTGGTCCCGGACGCGCTTGTGGTGCTGCTATGGCCGGCACCACTTGGTATGGCCGGCACCACGCCCTGCAACTGTTGTATCTTCTGCTTGAAGGAGACTTTCATAATGGGCTTGATTTGGGCAACGGTCAGACTTTGGCTAGCACCCGCAGCACCACTCGCTGCCCCACCAACACCGCCCACACCCGTTGCCGTCGCAAAGTCCACCTTGCTGCTGATGTTGGGCGGCGTGTTGACCTAGAGGCGGGACAAATAGAAAATGCAATTAATATCGAGTGGATGACATGTGGAAGCTGTGTGTGTGTGGTGCTTGATATTCAGAGATAAAAAAGAGAAAAAGAAAGAGAGGAGAGAGAGAGAGAGAGAGAGAGAGAGAGAGGTGTTTTCGTGGTTTACCATGACGAGTTGGGTCTCGCTGCCAGCGCCCGATTGTGGCTCATTTTTAATTTTCAACTGCTGCAATCGCTGGATCAGCGGAAAGCCTTCGTTGAACTCGCGTTCGGGCTCTTCCTGTATCGATTCCTGCGGCGATAACGTACACGTTACATGTGAGTGAGGTGGAGATTTCTGTGGTGGTGTGGACTTAACAGCTCGCTCTTCGCGATCCTAGTGCAAGACACATAAAGACACATACAAAAACTACTATTTAGGAGAGCCGGGGTTCATTACATAACATACAACACGAATTTTGCTGGATTGATTGTAATTTTTTTGTTTGTTTTTCTTATTGGATTAAAAGCTTAATCAAATCAAGTTCCAAATCAAAATTTTACAAATGCCAAATCAAAGTTTTTTCAACCCTTTTTCAACAGCGTATGCGAGATGCGAGGTGAGGTGTAATCAACTGTGGTGTGTTGTCCATTTAAGCTTTGGTGAGTTATGGCCAAATGTTGTAAAGCATGAAGTGTTGTAAAGCATGAAAGCATGTGATGAAAAGAGCATGATGTCGGCGTTTTTGGTGAGTTTTATGTGTGGTGTATTGGCAGGATCCGTATGTAGGTGGATAGCTTAATGAACTGTGGTGTGTTGTACATGTAAAGCGTGGTGAGTTATGTTCGATTATTGATAAGCAAAAAGCTCTAACATGTCTGATGTCGGCGTATTTGGTGAGTTTTATATGAGCTGTGTTAAATTGTGGTGTATTGGCAAGCGATGTATGTGTATGTTGTGTGTTGTAGTTTTCTTCATAATAGTGTCGTCATGTGTGGTGAGTTTGATATATGGTGTATTGGCAGAAGATGCATGAAAAGGGTTAGTATAACATGGTCGACCCAGCTAAGCTGGATGGTGTGTATTAGTATTAGTTTAGTAGTATATAGTTTTCTCCGTTACAGTCCATTTATTGTATATAAGGTAATTGTTACTCTGTAGTTTGGTGGATTTTGTTATAGGTTGAGGATAATTATGAGTGGCGTGTTTCTGTTTTCACATGTCTTAAGTCTGTTTTCTTGTACAAAATATAATTTCAAGCAAGCAGCTAATTGCGGGATAGTCTTAAAGGCGGCTGTCAAGCAAATTTGGATTCACTAATTAGCTTTGGTTTACAGCAACACAACATAGATCGTTCTATTATCAGAATGGCATACAAATCTGTCGGCGATAATATATTAATATGCCCTGATCTAACATTTGCTTCTGTCAGACCTTACCTTGCTAGCAAATCATATATTTTGAAGCTCGATTATTGTCACCTTTCAGACACATCTGATTGCTAACTAACGTGAGCTTTAACAGCAACTTAAAGCAACGGATTCAGATTCATTCCATACAGGGTATTATCATTCGAATGACGATAATAATAAATGCTAAGATAGATGTATTATAAAGTGCACTAAAAGCAATTCAATATCGAGCTTTAACCGTTCAGCAAAGTCAAACCAAACAAAATGAACGAGGAACTAGAATTAAAGAGGAAGCAGCACTCGATGCAACTCAAAAAATAGAAGAGAGTGCGCATCGAGCGGGTATAAGTGTGAGTATAAGAGTGCTTGTACATGTGAGTATAAGAGTGTGCGGCTGTGCGTATTCGTGGGTATAAGAGTGCTTTGTGTGTATATCTGGATAACCGTAGGCATTGTTACGTATACGTATATGTTTTGTTGTAACTGTACTGTACTGTACTGTACTGGTTGCTTGAGTGTTGGGATAAACTCCATTAAAAGCTCGTGAGGCAATGAGGCGAATGAATTAAAGACGATATACACGATAGTTGCGATATGTGTGTAGGTTAGTTTTGCGTATGCACGAATTCCAATTGGAATGGTGAATCGATCAAAATAGTTGGTGAGAGAAATGGAACTGGACGGTGGTGGTGGTTGTGGTGGTGGTGGTGGTGGTGGCGGTGGCTGTGACTGTGATTCATGAACAAATGGCACTGACTATGAATGCTATCGGGCCTCGACTTACCTGCTTCTCTTTGAGCAGGCGCAGCCGCTGCAGCAGCGGCAGCCCCGCCCCAATGGGACTGGGCGTCTTGTCGTGCAGCTCGTCCTTGGCCTCGGCGCTGTCCGCGTCCTTATCGTCGGAGCGAACGCGCGACATGCGCTTCAGCATGATCTTACTGCCGCGTGGTGAGGTATTGTGCAGCGGTTGCATTTCCAGCGACTCGTCGCTCTTACGGGATGTTCTAAATCGAGTGCTGGATAATACGAATTCGATTCAGCAATTATAGGATCTCACTTACCTGGACTTTTTCAGCACATTGCGAAAGCCTTTGACATCGTGCTTCAGCTTGTCCACGATCTTCTTCGAGGCACTGTTCTCGCTGCTGTCGCTCTGATGCACCTGATGGTGATGCGCGTGCGGATGCGGGTGATGCGGATGGGCCGCGGCATAGGCGGCGGCCTCCTTGTCGCTTTGGGCCTTGGCGTATTTCTTGTTCACGCAGCGCACCTCCATGAGGCGTTTGCGTCCGAGCGTCTGCAGGATCTCCTGTGCATCCGGATAGTCCTTCATGGCGGCGAGCACGTCTTCGCGCGACAGCGAGAATAGCTCCGAGTAGCCCACTGAGCGGACATCCGCTGTGCGCCTAGAGCATATTAAGAGTTATAATAAGAGATGGGGAAAGAAAACAAAGGGAAGGGAATGGAAAGGAGGGGAGAACTTCCGGCAGTGCACTCACTTGTTCAGCCCATCCAGATTCAGTATGCCGATCTCACCGAAGAAATCGCCCGCCTTCATGGTGGTCAGCACCTTGCCCGTTTCACTGAGCACCTCCAAGATGCCATCGGCTATGATGAACATCTCGCGAGCCACCTCGCCCTTGCGACAGATCGAATCACCCGGCGTAAAGATGTACGCCTTCATTTTCAGCACCAGATCGTGCAGAAACTCCGGCTGGCACTCTTGGAATATGGTCACCTTCTTCAGTACGCTCAGGTTGACGTGTAAGGCCAATTCGGTTTTCAGCTTATCGGGCAGCAGGCCCAACGCCGTATTTATATCACCCCCACCCTGTATGCGACCCCGCGACCAGCTATAGTCATACCACCGCAGCACTCTCCGCTTCATTCCGCCCGGCACCTACGAAATTCCATAGTGTATCAAATTGCTCAATCATCCTCCATCTCCGATCCACTCACCTTGTGATGCCTCATATAGGTCTTGGCCCCATCAAGTAAACGCTCGAACTCTAGCCGATTGGCATTACGATTCGTTATCACATTACCCACTTGGCCCACAATAGTTGCAAAGATAAAAACGCCAATCAGGTAACTAACGATCGTAAAAATATACCTAAGGAGGTGAAATCAGGGAAAGGAAGATAAGTTAAGTAAATTATATCAAGTGTTGGCCATATCAAGAGCGAGACAGACAGAGCTAAAGTGTGAGTGCATCTTGATCATTTAGTTACTGAAGCAGCTTTCACAGTTAGCTTTTGGTTTTATAAATTTCGAATTTCAGAATTTAAAGGATTTCAAAAGAATTTCAATTTCAAATTCTCAACAGGAAAATTATTAAGTTAATGCCATATAAAGGTCGATTCTCTCTCTCTCTCTCTCTCTCTCTCTCTCTCTATCTCCAACTCTGTCTCTCTTTCACTCTCTCTCTTGTCGAATGGGATTGAAAAGCTCAATCAAAGTTTTCGAAAGCACATTTTCAATATATAATCAGCTTTGCATAGTTCTTATTGAAATTGGCTTTGGCAATTGTGAGCGTTAAAATCTGTTTGGAATTGTTGAAGGCTGTCGCACGCTTTCGAAAACTTTGATAGCAATTATATGAAGCAAATATTCATAGAGTAGGCAAGGCTTTGATCGTGATGCATATAACAATTGTCAGAGCAGCAAGGATTTTCTTGTTCACTTTGTGCCAATACGGAAAACGAAACGAACTGGTGGACAGCCCCCAACAATAAGCAAGATTATGTTAAAGATTATATTCAGTTAGACTTAGGTATTATGAATGCAGTTAGGAACTCATACCCATAGCTAGAGCCAAACTGTAGTAGTCGTGATTTGATGCCACGCCTTGGTATTGATCGAGGGCCGTCCACCGAAAAGTTCGGTCTGTTTTTTGGTTTTTAATCATTTTTTCGTATTTTTTTTATAGCATGGGAGACAAGACAAAGCCCACCCCAAAGATATCCAAAATTTAGCCAATAGATCAATGTCGATAAGCATCTCATACTCACTCTGCATTCGTCTCAGGGGTGGGCAAATCGCCGATGGTAGTTAGCGTTAGGGTGGACCAATACAGGCTGCCCAAATACTTGCGGGTCAGCGTCGCATAGTCACCTGGCCTATACGGATAGACCCAATCGCCCTGGGAATACAGCATATAAGTACATAGACCGTTAGACTGTTAGATGGGCTGAGCACTTACCTGAAAGCCTTCCGCTTCGGAGAGCAAAAAATAGAAACAACCGAACCAATGGGCCAATATTAATAGGATATGAATTAGATTAACAACGCGCCATAAATTTGGCCAAACTGTTCTACTCTCTACGATGTAATAAAATCTCACAGATCGATATACCTGCAAGAGGAAAATATAGTATATATGAATAATGAATTGATCTATGCAGGCAGCTCGGAGCTCACTTTAAAAAAGCGCGTAAAACGCAAAAGCGGATGCGTGCCCATCTTCAACTGTAGCAGATCCAAGGGTATCAGCGCAATCATATCGAAGATGAACTCACGCGAGTGCACATAGTGGCAGGCCAGTTTCCTGTCATCATATACCTAAACGGAAGGACATATGATATAAAATATATAAATAGTATATTATATATGATATATGATATATAGTAACTGGTTCTATTCTATATGCGCTGCACTCACCATTAGGCCCTGCTCCAGATAGCCAGTACGTAATTGAACTATTATATCTAAGATAAATACAACATCTGTCAGTGAATCGCAGATGAGCCAGAAGGTAGGCACAGATTGCTGTCATTGGTAAAATGTAAAAATAAATTTCAGCACAAATTAGTTGAGATTTTTGCAATTAGTTAGAACAACTCGGGCCAAGGACAATTTTAGTTATTTCAGCAATGCATTTCCACAATTGCAAATGCACACGAAAGTCACCCCGCCTCCGCCAATGGCAGGTTGGCAAAAATAAAGAGCGAGCGACCTCATGACAGCCAGAGCCAGAACTGAGGCAACAACAACAACAGCAACAACAACGGCAACAACAACGGGCCCTGTCACACATTACGGCCTAAAGGTCAACCACGGCGATGCCTCTGCCCGGCGTACCTCTAAACGGTCCTCCGAATATGTGCTCTCCACATTGTTTTGGCAACCCTTAGCCGACTTTAATCTGATGACAAACACCCAGCCAACTGGGCCGTGAGCAAACATTTGCACAGGTCCCCAAAAAACTAAGAGCCCACTAACTAACCAAAGAGCCGAGACCGACACAGACCTCTCTTGAGCCGTCTGCGTGTCTTTTAATTGAGTCATTACGAAACGCCAGCCAAAAAAAAAAAAAAACACACAGAAAAGAAAAAAATAATAAAAATACGGAAAAGAAATAAAAAAAACATGCCCAAAAGAAAAAGGTCCTTATCATGACAGGCTGCAGATACCCTATAGAACACATAATCGATAGAGTTTTGATTCCCTTCATTAAACCACATCAAATCAAACTTTTACTTTGGCATTACCTAAAATATAGATATATATAAATAAGAAAATTAATATTTGCTATCAATTGAATAATTTTGTCCGTTATATTCCTAAAAAAAAAAATATACAAAAAAATTAAATAAAATAAATTTTAATGAAATAAAATAAAATACTGCAAATACAGTCCAATCCGGTTATAACGACTCCGTAGCATCCATACGGCTCCCCAGAAAAACTTATATGAGCAGACTTATAGAGTGGATGCGTCTTCCGGCTATAACGACGATCCCGGATAGCTATATATATATAACCGGATTCTACTGCATACATATATAACACATTTTATGCATCATAGCTTACAGTTATGCTTTAAAGTTTCCAGAATTTTCTAAGATTATTTTATTAATGTCATGATGCAAATAACCATTAAAGTGTATATGGAAAGAATTTTGCCCCTCTGCCATAAACTCTCCCAAGTATTGAATTGTTCCCAAGTAACTTCTTTGCTGCAAAACTCCCTGTTATTGCCATCCCTAAACGCATGCCATTCCGATCAAGCACATCGACCTTTTTATGGAAAGAGTAATACATTCACTTCATATATTGCAGCCGCACACAATCGGCCTCGGCCACGTTGACTGGATGAGTTATAAAAATCTTGCGAAGCTTTACATTTGGGCAAACCTAAAGACTAATCAGCATCCCTCATGCCGTTGTTTTGCGCTGACAAGAATGTTTTCTTTATTCTTTTCTTTTTTTCTGATGTAGCCATATTACCTTGGCTTGCCTCGCCTTCAGCTAGTTAAGTTATTAAGCCCACTTTTAAAAGGATCCCAGCAAGAATTCAAGGACTCGTGGGAGTTGCCTTTTCTCGTCTTTTACTGAAATACCTAATAAACTTCATTGTTTGAGGAAATTTTATGGCCGTTGGGCATTATTATTAAGCAGCAAGTCAACTCATCTTACAGAACTTGAAGCATTATGACAAAAGGTGTTGTCTTTCCTCAATGGCAGAGGAAAGGCGATGGCGGTGGGGCGAAGCGAGTCGAGTCGAGGTGAACAGAAAAAGGGGCAGCGGTATTAGAAAAAAAATTGAAGGGAGGACAACACAAAAGGTTTGACATTAATGGTCCGGTCGCATAGCATTCACTGACTTACCTGCAGTTCAGGAAAGCTCTGCCTCACAATTAGGGTCCATAGATTATAGAGAACACATATAGTTAACATCATTAACCAATAGAAGTAAAAATTTTCATCTGGATTAACAACGGAGCGTCGTTTCTGCAGATAACGTCGTCGACGCTTCACCGTTTTGTCGACGTCACCAGAGGCACTTTCTGAACCCGTGTCTTCAACAGTTTCCTGTGAATGGCAATTGCAAGGTATGAATCAGCGAGTCGACTCGAATCGAGTTGAATCAATTTAAATTGAGTCGAATCTCTTTTAAATATCTCACCTGTGTTTCGGGTATCTGTCTAGTTGAGAAACGCTTCAGGAATGAGTCTTCGCGCTTGAGCGGTGGTTTCTTCTGTATGGCCGATGAGATTTGTACGGTGGTGCGGAGTTTCATCCAGCGCTGATTTGAGCGTGTCCTGTACGAGGATATGCCACAAAAGACACACGTTCAAGGATCACAAGTCATCGATAAAGCGAACAACTCTGCTCTAACTAAACTACAACTAATTGCTACGGCTGGTTTCAAACTGAAAAGATCAAGCAACTACGGGAACTGAACGGGAGCAGGAAATGGGGCGTAGTTCAGAGATCACAGATCGGTTAGAGAAAAGAAACAGGAACAGAGAGTAAGAAAGTAAGAGAGTAAGTCAGGTAAATAAGTAGGTAGAGTAGTCAAATGCAACAGAGCTGGTCAATGCAAAGCGTGCGATTTACGTTAGATTAGGTTTGGTTTTTGCTAGGACTACATACGTTGCATTGGGGACTCTACAAGTGGGGTGCACTAGTTAGTCTAGTTATCTATTTGCAATTAGGTCGTAACTTACGCAACACGAACACACACTTACGCTATGCGTGGTGGGAGCAATAAACATTCATTAAACGTTACGTAACGTAATGTAAACGCACTCAAAACATGGCACGTAACGATATGGCAACGCTACCATCTAACGGGCAACGGTAAACGGCAAACGGCAAACGGTTAACGGTTAACAGACACACACACACACACATAGAAAAGCACGCACGGAAACAGATGTAGACTGGTCAGGTGCTGGTGCTATGGTGGAAGACGGGGGTAGAGGGGGGTTGGGCAGGGCTGGGCTGGACTGGGCAGGAGACGTCCTGACGGAGACAACTGACAGCTGACTGGGCAGCAAGGGCAGGAAGGCATGGAAGGATGGAAGGAGTTCAGGAATGGCTTGGCATGGCCAGAAAGGAAGTCCCGGTAAATGGGTAGAACAAGGCAGCCAGCTAGCCAGTCAGCCAGCCAACCGTATACAGTTGCGTCTCCGTCTCCGGCTTCCTCGGCGTCTCCCATCTACGTTTTAACGCTCTAACGGCAATCAGGCATGCAAAAATGGCAAAGTATTTATTTTTATGTTCATCTGCTTCCATAGTAGTAAATATATGAGTAGTAGTAGCAATAGTAGTATTAATAGTAGTAGTAATAGTAATAGTAGTAAGGTTTGAAGCATACAGATAGATGGAAACATAGATCTTGTGCAAGCTGGAAGCATTTGCATGGCAAGCTTCATAAACATATTCGCTGTCATGCAGTGGAAACAATTGAGAAATGAGAGTGGATAAAAGGGAGCAAAATGAAAAACAAGTGGGCGGAAAATTAAATTCCACAACAGTTGCAAAAAGGAAACAGACCCAAGTTCGCCTCGCTTTGCTTCGGTTACAACTGCAATTTTGCCAATTTCGTAGTTTCAATTTGAGTTTTATTTCATTTCATTTTTCTTTCTTTTTTTCTTTTTTTTTTTTGGGCATAGAAAACAATTTCCATAAAATCGGGAATTGGGGTTTGAGAGCTTGTTTTTTGAGGATTTTTTCTGAACAAGACAGACAAATGCTAAAAGCTCTGTCAAACAACTAAAACAAATAATAATATTTGTAGAGCAAAACAAAAATGTAAAATTGAAAAGAAATCTGTGTAAGAGCTAAGAGTGCAATAGTCGCAAAATGAACGACTATCAAATACGCTGTAACCAGTGGAAATTCTGTACAATCTGGTATTTTGCTGTGAGTTTGAGTATTATTGGAGTACGAGTTTAAGGTAGAGCTGTAAGACTTTTAAAAGTAGATAGAAATTTATCTAACGAATCAATTTCCATACTCTGAAATTTAAAAAAGTGTTAAACACAACATTTTTGTATGCAGTAAATTGGTTAAAAAAAAGTGTTCCATATAAATTAAAAAAAAAAAAAAAAAAAAAAAAAAAACAGTCTTAGGTGGAGGTTCGGAACTGGAAACAGATATTTATAGAGCCTCCTTCTAGTTAAACAGCTTACAGTCTTAAGTACCAAACACTTACAATGCTCTTTTGTTTTTTTTTTTTGTCGCTTCCACTGGTTACAGGGCATTCAAGTGGGGCTACAACACGACTACAAGTGCAATTGGAATGCTGGGAATTCGGAGCTGGCATTTGGAATACTTTTGGGAAACTGGAATCGGAATTGGATAGGCATTTGAAGTATTTCCGGTTAATGTTGTTCTTGTTGTTGGGGGTTCATTTTCTTTTTTTTTTTTTTTTTTTTTTGGTATTTGTTGTTGCTCGAATCGCTAGTGGCCATGATAGGTCTATGTCGAAATTGCCTGGCTACGAGAATGAGTAACGGCATTATATACATATGTACAAACAATATGTGTTTTAATATACAAGTATTTTTTCAGTATAAATGTGGTATTTTATTCGGTATTATTATAATGCTTTTTTTTATGTACAAATGCTTCATTTTTATTAGCAGAGACACCAATTGCACACATACAAAGCGAATTTTTATAGCATTTGCACACACACACACACACACGCACAATTAAATTAATTTTGTTTGATTTTTTTTTTTGTATTATTCGGTAATTTTTTTCGTATATACAAACTACAGTTTTATTTTTGATTTACTTAGCAAAATAATTTGCATTATATTTCGCATTTGGTATTTAATTTAAGTTTTTGGTGTTATTTACAGCGTTTTCTTAATATTTGGTTTTTAGTATTTGCCGATGCTACCTAATATTACGCATACGTCATGTGGATCATAAGCAGAAAGCAGCTTGCAATGCGGCTAGCTAAGAGTAAGAGAAACCAAACCAAACAAGAAAAGAACGAAAGAAAAACAAGAGCTAGGCGTGGCATGTTCTTTATACACGTGTCTCTATGTGTGTGGGGTTGTGTGTGGGTGTGTGTGTGTGTTGTGAGTGTGTCTGCCAAATTCTTGGGTGGTTGCATTAAGAAGCATTTGGCAAATGGCAACTACTCGTTTATTTGTGAACTATTGGATTACCAAAAGTGAGTGAGTGTATGGGTGTGAGTGTGTGTGTGTGTGGTTGATTGTGATTTTGGGTTCGGCTCGCTACTTAACCCGCCAAGACGAAAACGAAAACAATGAAAAGAAAAGGCAGATTCAAGTCGAGTCGAGTGTTTTTGTTGTTGTTGTTGTTGTTTGAGTTTTAGTTTTTGTTCTTGTTGAAACTGTTGTCGTTTGCCTTGCTGTGGCCCAAACGCAATTGAAAAAGTAAGCGCTTCGCATGCCAATTAGATGCATCTCAGTCATCATCAATCACGATCAATTATCGTCATTCGCAATATCAATACTATCAAATATGTATATTATTATCACTATCCAAAATCAATTTTTGCAACATAATCAAAAAGCGTTAGCTAAATTTGTATCGCTAGTGGTTTATGTGTAATGTGTATGTGTGTGTGTGTGCGCGTGTGTGTGCGTGTTTTCTTGTTGTTCATATTGTAGTTGTTGTTGTTGTTGTGCAGAGCGTGAGAGTTAACCAAAAGTTGGTAACAAACGCAAAGGACTTACCAATCGGAATCTGGATCTGAAGCTCCATCTCCGATACGCGATTTCCTAAACGAATTGCGAAATTGTTGTTTTTGGTTTCAATTTCAATTATTTTGTTTAATTTTTTTTGTTTTTTTTGTGCAAAACAATTTGATTATTGTTGTTATTTTATTGATTGTTTAATTGATTGATCGATTGATTGTTTAAAGACGTAATACGTAAATTGTATGTAATATGTAGAATGTTCAGATGATAGAAATAGAGAAAGAGAGAGAGAAAGAGAAAGAGAGAAATAGATAGATTTGGACAGAGCTTAAGATAGATAGCATACAATCGATTGCAGACAGATGTCAAGGGCGTAACGTGATCAAGCATCTTATGACCTTTTACAACACTGCAAAGTGCTTTCGACTTACAGATACAGAGTGAGAATGCGCGAAAAACAGTTCGCAGCTTCAGTCTGTTTATTCCCACATTAACATTTGCGCAGTCGAGTAGAGCAAACAAAAAATGTAACGAGATTATTTATAATAATATATGCCGTTCTCCAACACTGGCAAAAACTCCCGCTTAGCTGATGCTTGCATTTTATTTCTTTTCCTGATCCGAATGATCAGCTAAAGTTCATCATGAATTGCACAAAAAAAAAAAAAACGTAACTTTAAGTTCCAGACGTAATACTCTCATATTCAGGCAGGTGGAGTGGAAACATAAAAACCATTTTCCTTTTACATTCTCATAGCGTTCATTAACTAGAAATATAAGCTTGTTGGCCATAATGAACGAGTTAACTTTCGCTTTTTCCGACACAAACTTTGGCATTTAAATATTTTCATCATTTTTACTATTCACATAAAGTCCAGGAGCTATAAGCCATTAAGCCCAATGTCTAAATGGATGCACTTGACTGGGTCGTTTAGGCCGCTTATTTCGTAATAATAAATATATAAAATATATACAACGTATATATTAATTATATATTATGGTCTAGGGTTAGGCTTGGGCCAGAAATTGTAATTCGAAATTTTCGAGTGTTTACTGTAGCATGCATAGAGCGAAACATTTTATTTATGATCCAGGAGTTGAGCTCAACGTATTAATTAATGAATATTTCATTGCGCACTGAAGCTGTCTCCCAATATTTGCGCAGGGTACACAGAGTGCGTTACGGCGGAATTTCTTTTGGCTTTCTTTGTTGACTTTTCGTTCGCTTTATTGCAACATGACTCTTGGGAGCATTTTCACGCATTTGCTTTCACTATTGTTATAGCGAGCAATAGATAGAGAGCAAGATAGAAGAAGAGAGAGCGAGAGAGAGAGAGAGAGAGAGAGAGAGTGAGGGGGGGATAGAGATAGTGTGTGCGGGCGAAAGGCAGGCAATTCATTTAACGGTCAGCTCGTTGACTTGGCTTTTGGCCTGTTCTCATTTTGTGCTTCGACTTTTTTGGTTTCTGGTTCTGGCCCACATGCGGGCTGCGTGCCATCAAGCGTAAAAAAGGCTTGCTGTACGATAAGATTACGCATACCCACACTAATACGCACACAAGCACACACACGCACACGGAGCTGGACTTTCGATTTATAATAAATTGAAATGGAGCTTGTTAGTTTTTGCCAGGCCCTGCACACACACAAAAAAAAAAAAAAAAAAAAAAAAACCTAATGCTAAAGGCTAAAGTTTTAAGCTTTGTGGCTGCTCCACCTATTAAATGCCACGTTTTATTGCACCACAAATCATCAAGGCACACACACAGACAGAGCGACTGAGAGAGAGAGAGAGAGAGAGAGAGAGAGAGAGAGAGATGTTGCTTAATGGCCGCCTGATGTTGGGTTTGGACTGTTAGCTGTTTGTTTGCTTGGCTTGCCTGTTGCCTCAGCTCCAGGCGATTTCAATTAACGCTTTCGGCACTACACATGCCGCTCTCTCAGCGGATTGCACCACATGTGCGCACCACTCGCCGTTCGCCGCTTGGCCATTGGCAGCCACTTTGCCACTGTCACGGCATGACATGGCCAAAAAGCAAATTCGGCCAAGGAATATGTTGAGGCACGCACTGCCGCTTCGCTTCTCGCCTACCCGATGTATGTATGTATGTATGTATGTGTGCTTCTCTTCTTCAGCTCCTTCGGCCACTTGACCCTGCCGCGTAGCATCCAACTGGCCAGTCATTCCGGCCACCAGTGTGGCCAGCCGTGCCCATATTAATTGGCCCTGGCATCCAGCGAACAACAGCCTGACAAATGAGCACCAAGTTTGCCATTTATTGTCTCAGTTGAACTCAATTCCCACTGTCTTAAAGCAAACGCAACAACGCCACAAAATGTCCAGCAAATATCGAAAGTCGGCATCAAATTTGATTGCAGACCTAATCTAGTTCCAAATGCGGGCGGGCGATCACAAGAGGCACTGGATTAGGCCAGAAGTAAAGCAGTTAAGGCAACCAATGAGAGTACTCTAGTCAGGAGTGCCGGACGAGGTGATACCCTGACAACCATACTGTATTGTCATCCCTATCATTCTGACAGGCAGACATAAGCAAAGCTCCGACTTCTGCTTTACTGGGTATACATATAATATTTGAACAGCTTTTGTTCTACATGGAATTTCTACTCGAGTTAAGAGCGAGGACTTTTGGGAAAGTATGAAAAATTGAGGAAATAAAGTATATTAGAATCTGTATTCTCATCATAGAGCTGAACAGAGCTCATTTGAAATCTGCCTAAAAACCTTATAAAATGATCGATTATTATCAATGTGAGAAACGAATGAGTTATCGAAACATCATGATAGGCCTGAACTACGCATACTATAATAAACAAAAAAACGATAATTAAATGTTCTTTATCTTCTTCATATGAATGTAGAGATAAACACAATAATTAACCTGCTTGGCTTACTCAAGAATCTATAGGTATATGGGCTCTACTACGCCTATTTCTGCCTTTCAAAATTTGCAAAAATATATTCACAGAGCCATAGCTCAAGACATAAAACACAAAAGCTAGCTGCAAACTCATTAAAATATAATAATTAAAATATATAAAATGTAAAAAAAAAAAAAACTAAAAAAACAAAAAACAATTATAATCTGATTCCCCATAGAAAATAAGTTCAGGGTATAAAAAGACGCAACGCTTTCAAGATTGTGTTAAATTTCTATCAAAATTTCAAGTCATTCAAAATCATTTTTGGTTTCACTTTTCATGCCAACTTTCAATCTATTCAATGATTAAAACTTAAATATCAATATATAACAATGTCAAACAGTAAATTCTCAAACTTTTGCTCAGAAATGTAAATCAGGAAAAGTTTTTCAAATTGATGTCTTGAATCAAGCTAAATGAGATGAATGCGTCCATGGAATGCAAATCGTTTGTTTCCATAAAGTTAGCCAGGTTCGTGAAGGGAAGAGTAGCAAAGAATTGGACTGGTGACTCGGCTAGACAGCACGCCTTCCTGTTTGATTTGTTTAGTTAGGAACTGAAAATGGAAAAAATTGAAGAAGAAGGAGAAGAAGAAAACGAAAAAAGCAGAGCGCGAAAATCTTTGCTTCGAGCTCTGCATCACGCCTGGCCTCGCCTAGCTTCGCCTGGCTTTGTCGCAGTCTGTTTCAGCCATTTGCTTTTTTTTTTTTTTTTTTTTTTTTTGCATATTAGTTTGCTTTTGTGCGCAGCTCTTAAAGTTCACTGTGGCTTCGAGCTATTTCATGATTTACTACTTAAGAAATTGCAGCGCGCCTTAGCGTGGACTTTAGCCTGCTTATTGCATGGCTTTTACTTTGCTTTCAACGAGGATTTTCACCTTACTTTTTCTCTCTTCATTCACTTTTGGCTTTGCTGCTTCGTTGGCTTTAAGTTATATTTAAATTTCTCGTACTAGGATGATAAAAAAAATATTTTGTTACAGGATTTCACTTTGAATAGCTGTGGACAGGCCAAAGCAAGTTATTTCTATATATTTGAGTCATTCAAACAGGTGGCGCCACCTGTTGAGAGTTAATTTGTGGCTGTTTAACATTTATGTAAATATGACAGTTGAATGCAGCTGACAGGCAATAGATGGCGCTTGGCTGCAGCTGATCAACATCTATCTCTCTCTCTCTCTCTCTCTCTCTCGCTCTTACTCTCTTGTGCATGCCACTTGACACAAATGACGCCTATGCAACAAATGTCAAATGGCTGCGCCTCTGTCTCTGTGTGTATGTGTGTGTGTGTGTGTGTGTGTGTGTGTGTGTGTGTGTGTGTGTATAAGTGGCAGCTGAAGTGGCACTGAATTAAAGCACAATCGCACTGCGGCAATCAGATCGAACACTGAATTTCGATTGTGACTGTCTGAAGACACTTGAAAATGCACGGCACAATTCACGAGAGAGAGAGAGAGAGATGAAGAAAACGAGTGAGAGAGAGAGAGAGAGAGAGAGAGGTTGAGAGACTAAGGCATGCATATGCATGCGGCCCCACAGTTCTTTTGGCAGCGGGCAAAGTTCATACAAGGGCGGAGAATATGCTGCAAACATATCTGGGTCATTTGACAATTTCACAGTTAAACTATGTGTGTCTGTGTGTGTGTGTGTGTTTGTGGGGGCTGGTAGTTTCTACATAAATTTGCAATTTTCTAAATTCAAATTCTTTGTAAGTTGTCATTCAGAAGGCAATTTCTCATTTGGCATGCACAATGCTAAAGTATTGTAGCATATGCATAGGCGCAGGCTAGCACTAAGCGAGTGCTGCAATGTGTGTGTGTGTCTGTGTGTGTCGGTGTGTATGTGTGTCAAAAGTTCGCCTACAATGCAGCAAGGAAGCTAAACATATTGATTCTCCCGCTCTCGTCCTCCCCGTCTCCACACACACACACACACACACACACTCAAAAGCCACTTTAACTTTTGCTGTTTGCTAAGATTTTTTCATTCCATTTTTTTTTCTTTTGGTCAAAGTTGTCTGTGCGTGAGTGTGTGTGTTTGTGTATAGTTGCACTTTGCCCTCAGCTTGATAAACTTTTTGCCAAAAACTAGCACAAAGCCCAAGTGGATAAAACGTAATATGCGCGGCAAGTGGGACTAAGTAGTCGCAATGAAGACAGCGACAGCTACATGTAAACAATGCCAATGCCAGAGAGCACCCTGTGCGAGCACCCTGTAGGTTACTTGAGCCAAGCAAAACCTGACATGCGAGTGAGAGACTAAATAAGAAAAGCTAAACTCTTCAAAAGATCAGAGAGAAGTTTGCACACAGTTTGTGTGCACCCTGTATGGACAAGCGGCACACCCTGTGTGCAACGAGTGAGCTTGAGCATAAATCAATTGTCAAGAGCGAAAACTCTCGTTACTGTCCAAACAACTTGGACGACGAATGGCCGGGCGACAGAGAGCCATTAAATCCCACATAAGAGTACGAAAAAAGGAAAGCGAATGCCCTAAGTGAGTCTTATTGAATACTTAACATCCATTTTGAACCACCTCCCAGAAGCAAGAAGAGTCTCGGATTGGGCAGCAAATGAGTCAAAAAACTACATTTTAGAATAGTTATAGTTGCAAAAAGAGGGCAGAAACCAGAAAAACAGACGAATAAACAAGTTGAGTGAGTTTTGTATAAGAGTAGTATAAGAGTGAGCTGCCCAGTAGAAGAGAATATCATCAGTGGCCGGGCTTACAAGCAAGCGAGCGAGCGAGAAAGAGAGAGGGAGAAAGAGATTGTATACATATGAGTGTGCTGAAGAGGGGAGTAGAAGAATGAGAGCTTTACACTGAGAGCAAAAAAAATGGAGAGAGAGAGAGAGAGAGAGTAAGATAGAGGAGCACTGTTTGGCATACGATTAATGCAACAATTGTTAGACACGGTCAAAATTAGCTATAATTATGTGTGAGCATACAGAAGAGCTTAGATATCTGCAACACTTACACACACACACACACACATATATATATATTAAAATATATATATAAAGGGTATACCACTAGGCTAGAATAATGAGCGAGAGCGAGATGGAGGAAGCGAGTTAGTGTGAATGTGACGGAAATAGACAGAGATAGGAATAGTTGTACACATAGATTACAAAACTGATTTGATTTTTGCTAACGGGTTAGTAGATAGAGCTAAAGAGAGACAGAGAGAGAGAGAGGCAAACCAAGACAGACAGATCGAGAGAGAGAGAGAGAGAGAGGGCATGTGAGTGAGTTTTGGTTACTTCTTGAGCATATCACGGATATTGGATTGGGTTGCGGTACGGTTTGGTATTTGGGAGATTTGAGAGGTATTTTTGTTTTTTTGGTATTTTTTGTTCGATTATTATTATTGTACATACACTCACACATACAGACAGACAGGCGTACACACGTACGGACACACATACACACACAAAATGCAAGGCAGTAGTAGTAGTAGTAGTAGTAGTAGTAGTAGTACATAACGTTAGATAGTTGCTTGATTAGTTAGATTAGTTTGAGTTTAGCTTAGTTAGTTGGGTTCTTGTACTGTATGTAAAAGCTGTAAAAGCACCGTTCCTCTTAATGCGCCGCAATGAGCAATAATAGGCCATAACGGCCCGCAGGCTCTTCCATTTGGTTGTCTGGTTGCTGGGATTGCTGTCGTTCTTGTTGTGGTTGTTGCTGCTGTTGCTGTGGCTGTTGCTGTGGCTGTTGCTGTGGCTGTTGCTGTGGCTGCTGTGATTGCTGTGATGGCTGTGATTGCTAACCAGCTCCTCGGGATGCTCGCTGATGAACGATGAGAGCGTCTTCACCTGCGTCCGGCTGCCACCAGCCGCGCCCTGGCCGCCCAGCCCGGCCATGGCCAGCGAATAGCAGCTGCCATCAGAGGATGGACTATTCAGGTGCAATCGCACCTGCCGACGCTGGCGAGCATGCTGTCCTTGTCTGTGATGCAACGAGTCCGTGTGCTGCTGCTGCTGCTGCTCTGACGTTAATATAAGTCTATCCCTCTCTGTGTACATTCTTAAACTATTTGTGCAACGGCAATTGCTCTGCGCACTGGTCAGCGATGAATTGGCCGATCTTCCAATGGTTAAAATTTTAGGTTATATGTATACCAATAAAATATATGCACAAATTATCAAACTACATATATGTACGTCTCTATATACTCGCATATTGTACAATACTATGTATACCCTTGCAGTCTGAACTTTTCCTCCAGGACTAAGGCGGCTACATTCCCAAGGCAAGCTAAGATCAAGCAGGAATCATGCGCTCTAACCTACTTAGATCTAAGTGAGAATTCAAATCAAATGTAATGTCAGCTTCATACTGCCTACTGTCAGTCAGTCAGTCAGTCTGTCTGTCTGGCTGTCACTTCATCACAGACTCGATTTATTTCCTTAGTTCATATCATACAGTCGTCATAAATAAACAAACACTTCAAGGCAGAACTTTTTCATAATGGTTTTCTTCCACTTTATATACACTACACAGCTCAGTTTGTATATATTCACAGTATGTCATGAATATATGTATGTATAGACAATATATACATATATGTATATCATTTGGTAAGACAATAATACAAGCTTATCACAATTACATTCTTATGGGTATCATACGGACGATTCACTTATACATACTTAAATACATCAACTCATATATGCTATATATGTATATATATATGTGTCTATATAGATCACATCATGGGCAATGTCAGTCTGCAAGGGTAGGCATGCTTCGGTGTGCCGAATTGATGGTCTTTGCATTCAGTTTGCTGTACAGGTGTGATTGGGGATTAGTGTGCATGCGAGTTCACGTATTCACGTATCGCTGCAATAACAACGCCCCCAATTCCAAATACATTTCCAATCCCAGGCAATAACCCAAAACTGCGCTTCACACACACACCCATACACACACACATATGTATATATATATATATATATATATGAACAAGTGGCTTACAAGTTTTGGCCAACAGCCATGACATAATTCACTTAACTAAAGCCCATTTGGGTTGGCATTGACACGGATTTGGTGCGGATACCACGTAAAGCTGCCCGCAATTGCCACCGAATTCCGGGCTCCGGGTCACAAGGAGCAAGGGCGAGCCAGAGTTGTCAACCAACTAATCGTAACTGGCAAATGGGTCTCCAGGGTTCCGAGGTTAATACATAAAATCACTAAACAAACTGAACAAAACTCTCGCCACACACACTCACACTCACACACACAGAGACACACTCGGTTCCAGCTAATTGCCTTTATTAGTTAATTTCCTTTATGTCAACTACAAATCAGAGAGCACTCTCTCCTCATGCTGTAATATATATATATGTATATGTACATATATACAGTTAGTTGATTGTGCCGTACAATGGGGCCATATGGGGAATCATTTTCGTGCTATTAACCTGCATTTTTATTGTTATACCCCAAGCAAACAGCCGCATCCTGCTACTGGCAACTGCTCCTAGTCTGGTGTATAAGATCTTTCGGAAAACTATCTCAAGTAGCGCCTGTTAGACTGACTTTTATAATTTTTTTTAAATATTTAAAATATATACATATATTGATTATATCATTATTAATTATTATAAATGCTATGATACCATTAATATTATTTGCATTATATAATAATAATTATTAAAATTTAACATTTAATAAAGTAAGTAGTATTACTTTTAAAATTTCATTAGCATAATGATTATACAGTCGAGTCCCGATAATTCGAAATGGCAAGGCAATCAGTTTTTTTTTTACGATTTACACAGAAATTCAAATTATTGAGAATTATCGAGAACGAATTCTTTCAAAGGGATAGCATTTGTCTCGATTTATAGCGAATTTTGATTTAGCGGGGTACAAATTATCGAGACTCGACTGTAATAATTATTGTGTTCGTTTATTTTAATGCATTATGATAATTTTGATATTTTTTATCATTATTTTCAAGTTAATTCTTATTAGGCTTATAAAATATTATTATCATAAATGGCGTACGCTGCCGCATCCAACTACATTTCCTCCGAAATTACCATTTTGTTTAGCTGCGAATGGTAGACAAACTGATGTATAGTATAGAAGAAATATACAACAGAAAAACTGCTTGAAGAGGAGTCTCTGACTACGGTAAAAAGGTTTTGCAGCAGCACGGATGAGCAAATACAAAAATCTAAAACATTTACCTTTCAATAATAATCATTTGATCTCTGTTATTATTGTCATTATCAATATGCATTGTGATTATTATTGTGTCTGGGATGCTATTACTCATCTACATTATTTTTATTATCACTGTCATTAGTACTTAGTCGGTTGGAGATGAGCAAAAGACATTTTTAATTGATGTTGATGTTATTCGTCGCCTGTTGTCATTGCTGATATTATTATGAAAACTATTAGCGATATCGTTATCAATATGAACATCATTATTATTATTATTGGGTGTTCTTTAAGTTTTATTTTACTTGATATTATTCATTTGTTAACATTGCTATCATGACGAAAAATACTATCATTATAATGATTAATATCAGTAGGTTTGTTATTATTGTTCATCTGTTATCATTACTTTCATCATTATGAAAACATATATTATTATTATTATTATTATTATTATTATTATTATTATTATCAATATCATTATTATTAGTATTATTAATTTACTTGACATTGTTAATCTGTTATTATTACATTATCATTATTATATTATTGTTATTAATATTTTCATTATTTTACTTGAATTTGATCATATTTTATGATTGTTAATATTATTATTATAGCTATTATCAATATCATTATCATTATGAGTGTCATTAATAGTATTGTTATTATTATTTTACTTCATATTGTTCACTTGTTATCACTGCTGTCATCGTTATGAAAATTATTATTGACATCATTATCATTGACAACATTATTGTTATTATTTAATGGATATTATTATTGTTGCAATATATTAATATTTTACATATTATACATTAGGCTCCACATCCATTGCCATATTCCTTAAAGCCTTAATATTGAGGCTGGCATTTTCATTGACTTAAGTATTCAAAATTTAATATTTATTATATTTTATATTTATACTTTTCATTGCCTGGAGTATTTAATATTTATTATATTTGATATATTCATTTTAGTCTAATTTGACCTTTGTTTGCCTCACGGCTTTGTTCAATTTGCCCACTCGGCTTAGAGTACGCCCTCTCAGTGCCCCGAACTGTATCTTATTAGTGAATTGTCATTGATGTGTAAATAGTCTTATCTCTTATTAGCAGCCTATGCATACGAAAGCCTATTTATAGCTGGCCGGAGTTTGCTGTAATCCTGACAGGGCTCGTTGCTACATATATCAACAGTTGCATTCATGTTTGAATAGCCTTGAAATATGGTTTCGTTTATCGAGTCATACAAATGAAATCCCATTAGACTTAATGAGAGCTAATGCCGCTCCAATTTATGGGGCGCCCATCATTGTTATTATGACTATGAGCATTATTATTGGGCACTCGATGGTCGATGGCCTCGATTGACCTGTCGAGCTTAACTCAATATGCACTTTCTTATCACACACAATCCGGCTAATGCAGTCACTCTTAACTTGTTTAATTAGCCATTAGCAGCGACCCCAGCCCAAACAGGCCAAAAAGCCCCAGAGCACAGGCAATGACAACAAAATGGCTGCTAATTGCTGTTGACTCAACCACTTGATAACAGATTCATTCACAGCTGATGGCCCCTTGATTGTGCCACACGACCCGCCCGACCCCACACATATATTTTGCATTATTTTTATATGTACAAATATTTGTTGGTTTTTTTTTCAATGGCAAATACGAGTTGAATGCGTGGCAAAAAAATCAAAAGTGGTGAGGGAAACTTAAAAAAATAATAAAAAAAGAAGACAATGTTTATGCATGTAAATAGTTGTACAAATATGTAAGTGTCTGTATGTGTGTATGTGTGTGTGTGTGTGTGCTTGTGTCAATATATCAATACGCGGCATCAACTGCGAGTATCAATAAAAATGATAAATCAAAAGCAGCTGCGAAGCCCAACAAAGTATGCTACGATTTTATTGTTAGCTTTGTATTTTCGTTTGTGTTTTTGCTTTTCTTTATACTGTTAGCAATCAATTATGCGCTTACTGTGTGAGTTTATGGAGAGTGTGTGTGTGTGTGTGTGTGTGTAAGTGTGAATGATTGTGTACGCTGCCTGAATTTTAACAGCAGCTCCTATATACGTATGTATGATCATGTGTGTCGAATCGCAATTCAATTAGATTTTTTTTTTTTTTTTTATCACACGCATTTTTCTTTGAACACTTCGCTTCGAGCAGCGCGCGTAATACCCCTGATTTGATTTAAATTTGTATGCCCATGCAGGGCATACGCTATGATAGTTTAGGGCTATCAAAATGATGGCCCGCTTCACGTCTTCATCTGCTTGATCAGCACAAAGAGAGCGAGAAAGAGAGAAGAGTTTCCCGCTGAATGATGCTTGAATATTGAAGCAAAACTTTGATGTATATATATGTATATACATATACATTAATGTCTGTATCTGATTCTCATGCAGCACAATTTTGAGCTACCGCGCAGCTCTTCTGCCTTTGGCCAGGGTATCTCGAGTGCGGCATACTTAAGTTTTTTTTTTGTTTTGTTCTTGTTTTTTGGCTCTGCTGCTTTCAATTTGTTATTGTTGGCTGTCGTTGTTATTATTTGTGAAGCTTTTAACTTGTCACTTTACACGAGTAACAATTTATACACATGTACGTGTGGGCTGTGAGCGTGTCTGAGTGTTGTTCTCTGTGTGTGTGCGTGTGTGTGTGACTGTGAGTGACTGTGAGTGAGTGAGCGTGGCATTAACTTACCGCTGACTGGGACTCTTGCTATCCGATGAGTGCGCCGCACTGTTATTGTCATCATCGTTAGCCAATTTGGCAGCAGCTGCTGCTGCCGCTGCTGCTGCGCTGCCGCTGCTCTTGTGATGGCGCTTGTGATGGGTGCCATCCGCTGGGGCATTGCTGCTACTGCCACCGCCACCGCCACCACCACCGCCTCCGCCGCCTCCTCCGCCGGAGCTGCTCGTGCCCGTGGGACTGATGACGTCCGTGTCGCTATTGCAATCGAATCTGGCCATATCCTTTGCAAACTTGCCGCCATGCTCGTGCGTCTCCATCTGAGCGAAACATAATTACAACTAATTAAAATCGAGGCCGTGGATAATGCAAACAATTTGTCTTCAATTCACTTCCTCAAGGGCTCGTTTAGGCCACTTCCAATGCGTTAACTATGCGCACATTAAATAATCATACTTTAGGCATCCCAGCCCAATGCCCAATCCCCAATTCCTGCTCCGACCCATGCCCATGGCCGTGCTACGTTCTGACACTGGCGCATAATTAAAATTAAATTTTGATTACTCCAGGCACACAGGCGAAGGTATTAAAAACTTTTACATCAAATAACGAGCCGAGAATCGAGTTGAAAACAGACCGAAGCGAAGCGACAAAGGGAAAACCGAGTGAAAAGCGTTGGCCAGGTGACCCTCGTGAGCCCGGTTAGCCAGGTGAGCCAGGTGAGCCAGGTGGGTCAGGTGAGCCAGCTAAGGCAAACTTAAAGCAAGTCTCGAGTTGCCTGGAATTTTACTGCAGTGCTCTGTTGCCCATGGTTATAGCCAATCAAATGGCATTTGAAAACTTTTAGATTGCGTTGCAAAAATACATGAAATTACGTATATATACAATAGATATGGATTAAACGGGTAACAGGGGGAGAGAGGGAGCAGGAGGGCTAAATACTAATCAAATAATATATTATTAGCTCTCCTTTCACTTAACAATCTCCAATTGCCTAAGCGGCGAACGATGCGCACAAAAATTCCTTTAATTAGCTAAAAATGTTGCAGTAGAGTTCAACCGACTGCACAATACTCGTGCAAGGTCTCAACTAAGTTATGTTCATTACTATATATATGTATACATATGTATATCACTAAAATAGGACGAACAGTATGAGAGCAGCAGCTTCTATCGATTCTCTAGGAGTATAGCTTAATAAATATATAATGTAGGTATATTTATTAAGGTACATATGGAATTAAAATCTTTTTTATATTGATATATTCTTCGTTATACAGTAGAAACCGGTTACAGCGACAACGCTTATATGTTATATATACGGCTATTACGACGAAAAATCTGGTCCCTAAGCAAACTTATATGGTTATAGAGTCTTCCAGTTATAACGACGGTCCTTTACCGTTGCTAGATATGTATATATACATATATTTTCTTCTATTCAATTCAAGATCCCCAGCCTCAAATGTTTCGTGCATTGCATTTTCGTTAAATTTATACGCATCTTTAAGTCCTTTCATGCAGCTAATTGCAATCGAATTTATGTGCAAATTATAAGAAGAAGAATAAGAAAAGCAAATAAGAATCGATTCAAAGAATATATCAAAATTATATGACTCAAGCAACAGACAAGAGAATGCTGAAAATTTATCTTAAAATATGATAACAAGAAGAAAGCTGAAAAAAAAAATCTCAAAATATTGTAAAAATAACTAAGTGGAAATAAGTTCTCTGTGGAATTCCCTTAAAACAATCATATGAAGGAGATTCCAATCCCATAAATACATGTAATAAATATACAATATACTGCTAGATGAAGATTCGAGTCCTATATGTTCACAGAAAACTATATTTTTATTTTATTTTGATACTCTTTAAACTAGAGAAGAGTTGTCACATTTTCTTCATAGATACACACAAATTTGGAAGCCTTAAAACTAAGCGAAAAGATACCGATTCCATATGTTCCAGTAGTACAGTAGTAGTACAGTTTATATAGTCACTTAAATAGAAATCTGAACAACTACCCCTTGAGTACATCTCAATTTCATTTGTTCCTAAAAGAATTATTTGACATTCCATCAAACAAAAATTCACTTTCTACAAACAAGAATAAAAACTAGTCCTAATGGCACCAATAGCAGACTGGATTTGCTCCAGACAAGATCGTAATCTCCTAGGCAGTATTCACTGTGGCATGTTTCATTTCAGTGAGTCCTCTCTTAATAGCTTCAATAGCAAGATCGTAATCTTCTAGGCAACAGTATGAATGCTGCATACACTGGGAAAAGTTATATTACAGTAAAATCTCGCTTAATGACAGCAATAACAGATTCCAGTTGTTCCAGACAAAAGCCCATACAGTTGTCAATTGAGAAAATTTCCTTTCAGTTTCAAATGTTCCTGCAATAACTCTCACTCTACGCAGCGCATTAGGAAACACATTTATCAAAACATTCCGCAAAACATTTTAATAAACTTTTCCTGTGGCGAGAGACCGAGAGGCCGAGAGACCGGGAGGCGAAACTAGTTGTCTGCCTAATTGCCAAGCCGATGAAATGCAGCGACGAAGATGTTCTACATGGTAAATTATAAATGGCGAAATTGTGAAATTGTGAAATCGTGCGCTCTTTAATGGGAGCATAGCCGCATAACATATCCAGCATGGGAATTGGATTTGGCCCGGCCAATTAGCTGACAACGCTCTGTGGCTTAAGCTCCACTTGTGAATGGCGCCCGGAGGCGGAGAAGGCGCGGCGCCAACATGTTGGCGGTGGAGAGTCGGGAACTGTTTCGGGACTGGGCAATTAAATATGCCGCAGAGCTTGATTGAAATTCGTTGTGGCTTTTGGCTTTGGGGCAGCTGTAAAGTGTGCACAGCGTCAATTCCATAAATATTTATGGCCTCAAGTTTCGAGTGTTTAAAAACTAAAGTCTCTGTCTCACTCTCACTCTCTCTCTCCCCCACTCACTCTCTCTCTCTCTATCTCGCTTGATACTGATTTAATTATGCGAGGAGATGCTCAAAACTGTCATATACTACAGGGATTACGAGTAATATCCGTCAATATCCTGTATCATAAACCAGAAACAAAAAAAAAAAAAAAAAAAAAAAAAACAAAACAAATACAAAACAAGTAAGAAGGCTCCAGTCGAGACTGCTCGACTAGGAGATACCCTGAACCCTCCAAGCTGATATTCTAATCAGTCTGGACTTCTTTTATGCACACATACATACACATGCACTTATAAGCACGCGCTCTGCTGACTGCGCAGTTAGCAGCGACTGCGCTTGGGCTGCGCTGCAATGTGGGCAATATTATGAGAATTTATTTGTTGAATAATTTCTTTTGTAGACATACGATCTTAATGAAACATACGATCTTCAGAGCGTAATCATATGGTTAAAATATGTGTACATTCCAAAGCACAAGTCTCTAGTACTTGAAATGCGTTTTTTACAAATTGGGGGAGAAGGGGGCGTGGTATCAAAAATCTGTAAATTACAAAATCTTTGTATTCATTAACTTTATATACAACTCAAATTTGAAGTCTCTAGGTCTAAAAGTGTTCAAATTAGGCTGAAAAAACCAAGTCGATTTTTCGATTATTCTCGATAAAAAAGTTATCGGACGAGTTATCGAAAAAATAAAGCAAACTTCTACTGCCTATGCTATACACGAGTATGCATGCCAAATTTCAGCTCTCTAGCTCTTATATCTTCTGAGATTCTTTTGCTCATACGGACGGACGGACGGACGGACAGACGGACAGGGCTATATCGACTCGTCGTGCTGATCAAGAATATATATACTTTATGGGGTCTGCGATGATTCCTTCTGCCTGTTACATACTTTTCACAAAACCCTGATTTCCCATTTTCAATGGGTTCAGGGTATAAAAAGGAGAATCGAACTCGCATCATAGATTCATGGATGGCCTCGCTGCCTGTCAGCGATTCGTAAACATTTTTATTAAACGAAACCCCAATTCCCCAACAATGTAGCCTTCAATAGAAATCAATCAATATAAATGCTACGCATGGCAAATGCCCTATCAAACGGCTGTAGAGAAACGAGGTCAGCACCCGAAAGATATGCAAAAGATAAGTTAAGTAGAGAAGCAAAAGTGAGGTTAGAAAAAGATAAGTCAAAACTTCTTTGAACGAAGCGAACCGAGAGGTAAACAGAGAAAGCGAAAGCCAAAATAATGTGAGAAGCAGAAAATCGTGTCAAATGGACAACAAAGTTAATTACGCGACGACCACCAAAAAGAGATAGAAGCAACCTGTGCCGAGACAATTAAGAAGTTCACAGCGTTACTGAGAGAAAGAAGCCTTGAAAAAGGGAAATCTAAGACAACGGGTAAAAATTGAACAAAGTTGTTGAACCAGCAGCAAAGCTAAACAACGTCAACAAAAGGCCAAGGCCAACAAAACTTTGCCTAGAAGTGCAAACAAAGTTTAGGCTTCACTTTCTCAATTGAACTTGAGAACTGAACTGAACTGAACTGAACTGCAGCAGGAGCAGTAGCAGGAGCAGCAGCAGGAGCAGCAGCACAACAAGCATTCAAATTCTGATGAAACCAATAAACAATTTCTGTTTGTGTATATTTGCACATTTTTCGGGCAAATATTTAACTCGCTAACCCAGTGGCAATCCGGTAAGCAGACAAAAGAGCTTCCAAGGCCCACATAAATCCCTAATACTGTCGAAAACTAGACGCGCAATCAGCGCTCACTTGGCAACTCCTTTACTACACACACACACACACATACGCACAGAGATGAACACACAATAGACCTATAAAGAGAAGAGAGACAGCAGCCACGCCGCGCCCACAGTCAGTCAATGACAGGCCCACAAAAAATGTACATTAAATAAAATTATGGACCACAAAAATTTGTATGCTTTCATTTTATATTATGGCACGCATCAATTGAGAGAAGAGACCAAAGAAAGGATGGGCATATGCGACGACCGTAAATTTATGTGACAGGCAAATTCGGATAATAATGAAGAGACTGAGCGAGACTATGAGGAGTGGAAGAGCATAAAGTGGGCGTGGTAGTGCACTGAACGATTCTCTTCTATGAAGTAGAGAGCAAGAAATCGATAACCGTATCAAATTGTCAAAAACTTTTCATAGCAGTTCTAGAATTTGCATAGCAATAATTTGAGTTACACAATTTGAATGCTCTTGCATATAATAAGATATACTTTAGCAAATTCTGTGGTTTTTAGTGGTACTCTAGTACTTTAAATACGTTTTTTACAAATCAGGGGCGAAGGGAACGTGTAATCCAAAAAAATAAGTCAAAAACGCCTATTAAACGAAATCAATTTATCGATAATTCTCGATAAAAAGAAATGGGATGAGAATCGACAGAAAAATATGATAAGTACTAAGATTTTTATACACGGATACACATGTAAAATTTTAGTCTCTAGTATTTTTAGTTTCGGAGATCTCTGCGTTCATATGAACCGTCGGACGGACAGACGAACAGATGGATGAACGGGCGGACACACGGACGGACAGGGCGATGGACAGACGAGCAGACGGACAGGTGGAAAGACAGACGAACGAAAGAACGAACGGACGGACGGACAGGTGGAAGGACAGACGAACGGACGGACAGGACGATGGACAGCCGAACAAACAGACAGGTGGAAGGACGGACGAACATACGGACAGGTGGAAGGACAGACGAACGGAACCCGGACTACTTCTGCATGTTACATAAATGTCACAAAAGCAGGGTATAAATATCCAATAGCTAACTCCAGGGTATCTTCTAGTCACCCATTGGTTCAAGTCATTGCTTGACTCTACTTCTAGAGTCTATGCAACGTTTTCTTTTATGATCCAGCTAAGGCTTTTTAATTATAATAATTCATTAAATACTGGATATCTGCAAGTCGTTGTTGCCTCGCGCCCCTCCCGCCCTTCGCGTCTTAAGTAGAGCTCATGTGGTTGTCTTTAATTTTTTATGGTCTTGTTTGTGCTCACGTGCTTACCGTATAGAGGCCCGTTGCAGTGGCCGCCGCTGCTGCCGACGATGAGGAGGAGGATGCTGCGGCGGCTCCAGTGCTGCCGTAATTGAGCTGCGAGTGATAGCCGCTGGAGAGGATCTTCTTGTGTGCGGATGCATGCGCCCGATACGCGCTGACGCTCAGTTTCATTGTCACATTAACTCAATTGGCAATGGCCGTAAGCACCACCGTGCACCACCTTGCACCACTGTGCACCACTGTGCACCAACGGGCGTCGTCCACCTGCACCGCCTTCTGACACAAAGTTAGGCTGCTTAGCTGCTGCTGCTGTTGTTGCTGTTGCTGGGCGTCAATGTGGGTGTGGGCGTGTTGGTGGGCTTAGGCGTTAGCGTGGACTCCGGTGTGGGCGTGGGCGTGGACGTGGGCGTGGGAAGCTGTCGCTTTCAACTTGCGTGTGTTTTGTGGCGTCTGCCTTGAATTGGGCTTAATTGAGTGCCCAAAGGCGTTGGATGGCTGACAACAACAACAGCAACACGGTTGACACCACTGCCACACACACACACACACACAGAGAGAGAGAGACAGAGATAGAGAGAGGGAGAGAGACAGTTGGGTGTTGCGGCCGTTGAATGACAATAAGAAAAACAATGCGCACTTTTTTGTTGCTTTTGCTTTTGCTTTTTGTTTTGTTTTTATTATTTATATATATATTTTTTGTTGTTATCGCCGCTTTGTGTTCCGTTTGTCGCTTCAGAAGATGGAGACGCAGCCACGCGCTTGGTGTGTTTAGGGCAGGGGGCGTGGCAGCGCAACGTGTATGCTATGTTTGCTTGTGTGTTGTTTGTTCTGTTCAGCTGCTGTTCAGTTTTTAGTTGACTATAAAAGTTGCTGGCATTGTTGTTGCTGTTGTTGTTGTTGTTTGGCTATTACCGTTGACTGTGTGGCATGGGCGTGTCTCGTACGTATGTTGCCTTTTTTGGTTTCGAGCCGGGCCGGTGCTGCTTGCTATCTATCCTTCGTTGTGCTTGTTTTGTTTTTGTTTTATTATTATTATTTTTTTTTTTTTTAATTGTTTGCAATTTGGGTTTTTTAGTGCTCTACAGTTGCGTCTGGTTGTTGTTGTTGTTGCGGTTGCTGCTCCTGCTGATGCTGCTGCTCCTGCTCCTGCTGTTGCTGTTGTTGTTGTTGTTGTTGTTGTTGTTGTTAAGGCCTCATGTCACTTTAGTTACAAGTAGCTGCTGCTCTTTGTTGCTGTTGCTGCTGTTGTCGTCGTTGGCATCGCCTGTGGCAAAAAGCGTTTACAAATGATTAAATTAAAGCTGATATTAATTTAGATGGTCAACATTAAAGTTTGTCTTGTTCTTAATTACATAACACTCAGGCCAACAACACACACACACACACACACACACACACACACACAGAGGGAGAGAGCCAGACACGCACAAGCGCACAAGAAGTCAGACACACACACACAGACGTAGATCTTAATTATGCTTAAATATTGCCCAGCGGCATGAATATTATAGCTTAGACACAGACACAAACACAAGCACACACACACACACACATGTACAATTTACCTCAATTAAAGAATGCCCCAAGGTGTGAATATCGAAGGATGCTCAGCGTAGCATCAGCTTTGAGTCATTATCTCAAGATACATATACGTATGTGTGTGTGTGTGTGTGTGTGTGTGTCTGTGCTTGTGGACAGCTCATAAACTGCTGTGGCAAGTCTAATTAATGCGCAATTGAACTAACCTCCACGCAGGCAGAGCGAATGCGAATAAGCGCTTAATTATTGACTGCATTTGATTGATGTCATTAATCAATCAAACATAAATTTAATTATATAATAGAAATACCACATTAAACCTTAATTACGCTCATTTTAGGGTTATTTAGCGCTACTCGTTTTATTTTCTGATGCCCATCAGCAAATCGAATTATCAGTATTAATGAACACATTGCATCGCATCAATCAGTATCAGCATCAATGAGTATATATGTGTAATGATGATAATGACAACAATCTATCAATTAAATGACATTTAATTTCTTACACTGATATCGACTAATACGATTGGCAGGAATCTGCTGTGATAGTATACTAAGGCACTGCCATCAATCAGCTGTGAGAAATCTTGATTTTCAATCAATACATCATGCCTGATATATATATTCCCTGAGTAGTGGCAAACTAAGAGTTACTATGTACCCAATCAAAGTCAAAATTATGTATTATATCTATCAAGCAATCCAGCAGTCAATCAACCAATCAATCAATCAATTAGTCATCAATCAGTTGCTTTTTTTAAATAAGCTATCGAGCATTTAACGTTATTTGCCAAATTTTACACTGTTAATGAGATAAACCAAAAGTCTCAATCAAAATTATTCTCAATCAATACATCATGCATGATGCTTATAAAAATATATGTTTCCTGAGTAGCTGCAAACTAAGTTATGTATTACATCTATGAAACAATTCAGCAATCAATCAAACACTCAGTCGATCAATCAATCAATTAGTCATCAATCACTTGCATTTGTTAAAATAAACCAGAAAGCATTTAGCATATTTTGTCTATTCTGAAGCTGTTAAAAAGCTATAAAGCTAAACAAAAAGCTTCAATCAAAATATACTCAATCAACTCTGAACTAATGCCATGTAATAAGAAATTCGCTATGATACATTAATTAACTAATCAATCTCTCGCCCCTGACCTACTTTTAATAACAGAGACTCGCTTAGTGGAACAATTGTCCAGCTCTCAATAAGCTAATCAATGAGCTTCAATCAAAGTGTCACCCAATCAGAGAACTCTTACAATCAAACGGCCAACAATCATAGTGCAAGCGAGGCTAGTTAATTCCCATAAATAAACATTTGGCTCGGACAATCGCTGGCTAATCATTCAGCAGGCGCACAAAGGGCAGCACAGTTTACAATCGAAGTAAATGGTCGATTGCTTACCAATGCGATTAGCATGGAAAACAATCAGCTTTTCATTTTCAATCGCAAGCAGAGCTGTTGAAACAATGCGCTGCGTAAAGAGATAAGGCACAAGGGACTCGGATCTCGATTTGGATTGAAACAGAGACAGAGACAGAGACAGAGACAGGGACAGGGACAGGGACAGGGACAGGGACTGGGATAGGGTTTTGGAATGAGAATGGGGACTGTGGACAGAGTTGTGAATGTGGACTGCACGAGTGTAGCCACATTCATAACATGGCTTTCATTATACCCTGAACCCATTGAAAATGGGAAATCAGGGTATAATGGTTTTGTGAAAAAGTATGTAACGGGCAGAAGGAGGCGTGGCAGACCCCACAAAGTATATATATTCTTGATCAGCGTGACGAGCTGAGTCGATATAGCCCTGTCCGTCTGTCCGTCCGTCCGTCCGTCCGTCCGTATGAGTGCGTCGATCTCAGAAGTTATAAGAGCTAGAGAGCTGAAATTTGGCATGCATACTCGTGAGTACCATACGCAGTACGAGTTTGCTTTATTTTTTCGATAAATCGTCCGATAACTTTTTTATCGAGAATAATCGAAAAATTGATTTTGTTTTTGAAGCCTAATTTGAACACTTTTAGACCTGGAGTCTTCAAATTTGCGTTGTATATAAAGTTAATCGATACAAAGATTTTGTAGTTTACAGATTTTGGATACCACGCCCCCTTTTCCCCCAATTTGTAAAAAACGCATTTCAAATACTAGAGACTTGTGCTTTGGAATGTACACATATATTCACCATATGATTACACTCTAAAAGTTTCATTAAGATCGTATGTCTACAAAAGAAATTATTCAACAAATAAATTCTCATAATATTGCCCACACTGCAGCGCAGCCCAAGCGCAGTCGCTGCTTACTGCGCAGTTAGCAGAGCGCAGGCTTGTGCGTGCGCGTAGATGCATGTGTATGTATGTGTGCATAAAAGAAGTGCAGAATGATTAGAATATCAGCTTGGAGGGTTCAGGGTATCTCCTAGTCGAGCCGTCTCGACTGGAGCCTTCTTACTTGTTTTATGTCTAACATTTCGCATTTGTTAAGCAGACATCTCCAGATTTATTACGGTTGCGCATACGCCAGATGTAACCAAAGGAGCTGCCAGCATTCTCGTAGACCCACAAAAGGACAACTACCTCAAGCAAGAGAGAAGAAAAAACCAACATTGTATTCAAATAAAAGTAAGGCGAATGCCGCCGGGCAGCTGGCTGTAAACATGTCACGGCGACTGCAGATAACAATCTGATCTTGGCCATTATAATATGGTGCCGCATTTGATTTATGCGTGCAGCCAGGTAAGTCAGGTAAAGGCTTAACAAGCTGAGCATAAAACTCTTGCAATTACATAAAACAAAATCCATTACGTAAAACCCGAAATCAAATAAGCTGAAACCCCATCTGTTGGCTTTCATGCGACATATATATATATATATATATATATATGTATTGAGTATATATGTACATTTGTATATATAAACGAGCTCATCTCTTGCGCATAAAATCTAATTATAAAGCATTGAAATATTCAATGTGGGCCAAACAGGACTTAACACTTTGTGCCGGAACGCTTAAACGGCTTAGTCCTGGTTGCCCAGCCGGTGGCAGCAACTTTTATGACCTACGCCCCAGCACTGGCCCCCACTGGCGCGATATTTTATGTGTGCATAGAAGGTAGCTGTGCCACAGCTCGTAGAAACACATAAACTTCTACACATACATATGCAAAGCTGCAGCCAGTTCAGTTGAGGGCTCTTCCCAGATGACATAGTCCATGGCTAACAGGTAGACACGGCTTTCAGTCTTTGTCCATTCAGTGCTGCTTTATACATGGAGCATATAGAGATTCGCTAAGCTGTATCTCTCAACTTCATATATACATACATATGTATATATATTTCATGCATACATATGTATGTATATCTCCGTCAGACTGTGCCAAAATGGCAGCAAGAAACATGCTTAAATCTCAGGTGACATGGTCTATGGCAACCAGGTAACAGTTTGCATTCAAAACATTGCATCTGAGCTTTATCCCTAGACATCTATACATATATACATATACATTTATGTTTGTCTCCATGCTAAACATGCAGCAAGTTCGTAGAAGAACTGTCAAGTCAGGTAACATAGTCTATGGCCAACAGGTAGAGCAAAGCACCAAGGCTTTATCTCTGAACTTATCTTTCTCTCTCTCTGTCTCTCTCTCTCTCTGTCTCTCTCTCTGTCTACATATGTATATACAAATATATCAAGTATCTTAGAAATGCAGCAAGCTCAGAGAAGCAATCCTATATCTCAGGTGACAGTCTATGGCCAACAGGTAGAAACTGATTTCATGGAACATGGCAGCTAAGCTTTATCTCTGAATTTCTCTACCTCTGTTTATGCAGAGTTGTACATATTCGTACCATCTTTTGATAAAGACGGACACAATACGCCGCACTAATTCTATGGGGTCTTCCGAGAGATATCATATTCAAGAAATGATGTCAACTTATCTACTTGAGTCTAATAAAATGATTGTCATGGGCAACATAAAAATTGTGTATTTCTTCGTCCAAAAAGGGTAGCCTTGTTGGGCTGCCAGATAGCTCTGGCGTATATGGGCAACCCTGTATATATTCACATTCGTATGTCTCCATGAGACTGTGCCGAAAATGCAGCAAATTGCATTTCCATTCTCAAATCTCAGGTGCCATAGTCTATGGCTAACAGGTAGACAAGACATCCATCAATTCAATGCTGCTTTATATTGAACACTGCATCTGGGCTTTATCTACGACTGCTGCCATATGGCAGCCAAGGGCATTCAATCTTCAACTTCTGCTGCTGCTTTTTCTTTACATTTCGTTACATTATTTTCCTCTTTTTGTGTGTAAAACCCAATGAAGCAGCCAAGCAGTGGAAGATAAACAGTCAGCCAGGAGCAGCAGCAGCAGCAGCATCAACAGCAGCATCAGTTCAATTTCTGCTCCTCATGATTTCAATTTCAAAATTTACGCTTCATTGGTCAGTAAAAAGAAAGCGTTCTAAATGCTAAGCCAGCTGCCGTTGCGTGGCCACAAAATGTGACATTAAAAAATGCTAACCACTTGTCAAAGTCAATCGAGAAGCGAGCCCAGCCCAGCCCAGCCCAGCCTAGCCCAGCCCTGCCAATCCCTACGCTCCCCCTGGCTTATCAGTGCCACCCACACACTTGTGTAACCCGACTACAGACAGCCTCATGCTCTTGTGTAATAAATGAAAAATCTTATCATCATC